TCTAGGATCATGCTAGAACTTGGTTGACCCCTTGTCAAATAGTTATTTAGATGAACTTCAGAAATATCTTCTGAGCGTTATTGGGAGGTAGCAATTTCTTCACATGCACGTCACCAATATTTATGCCAACGATACTCACCTATTGTGAGTTTTAGGAAATATATTCGGATTATGGTACCAAATCACACTTTTATCAACCAAACAGTACAGCAATACACAGCAAATACGTACCTTGTTTGCTTTTGTTTTATTTATGAATTTTATGTGAGAACTACAGTGTTGTTAATACATCGTTAATCTCTAGTTTTTCCATTTAACGAGACGTCATCAGGTTCCAAACGTTTATAACCACTGCTTGATTCCTACGTTCTAATCGATCATGATATAGATGCCTGATGATGTTTTGCAGGTATTTGTGAACATAATGATGCTACCCCTGCTGATGTTAATTGTGATGAGGTCAACAAGGACATAGAAGAAGCAGTGTGTCCCCCTCAGACCACAGGTGGGACTTTATCCAAGTACGCCCGTATCAAGGAGACACTACAGGGCATGACCTTGTCTCAGCTGTTTTCAATATGGACATTTCTAGTCCGCCAGAGAATCATATTTAACTGAGTTCATTACGAAAACAAAGTACTTTTTTATTTACACAGATTTTCAAGGGTTACCATCTCAATATTCAGAATGCTGTCTTTTTATCGACATAAGTCTTTGTAACCTTGACTGATGCTATACCGTGTCGTATGTTCCTATATACAGCCGACAAGTGTAGCAATTTTCTAAGACATCAGTTAATTTATAATTAAAACAAAACAGTAAAACCTTGTGTTATCTCAATCTAGAAACTGTTAGACAGTGTCAATGCTAACCTTCTCTCTGTTAGACAGTGTCAATGATAACCTTCTCACTGTTAGACACTATCAATGCTAACCTTCTCATTGTAAGACAGTGTCAATGCTAACCTTCTCACTGTTAGTGTGAATACTAACCTTCTCTCTGTTAGACAGTGTCAATGATAACCTTCTCACTGTTAGACACTATCAATGCTAACCTTCTCATTGTAAGACAGTGTCAATGCTAACCTTCTCACTGTTAGTGTGAATACTAACCTTCTCTCTGTTAGACACTATCAATGCTAACCTTCTCATTGTAAGACACTATCAATGCTAACCTTCTCATTGTAAGACAGTGTCAATGCTAACCTTCTCATTGTAAGACAGTGTCAATGCTAACCTTCTCACTGTTAGTGTGAATACTAACCTTCTCTCTGTTAGACACTATCAATGCTAACCTTCTCATTGTAAGACAGTGTCAATGCTAACCTTCTCATTGTTAGACAGTGTCAATGCTAACCTTCTCACTGTTAGACAGTGTCAATGCCAATCTTCTCACTGTATGACAGTGTCAATGCTAACCCTCTCTCTGTATGACAGTGTCAATGCTAACCTTCTCACTGTTAGTGTGAATACTAACCTTCTCTCTGTTAGACACTATCAATGCTAACCTTCTCATTGTAAGACAGTGTCAATGCTAACCCTCTCTCTGTAAGACAGTGTCAATGCTAACCCTCTCTCTGTATGACAGTGTCAATGCTAACCTTCTCTTTGTATGACAGTGTCAATGCTAACCTTATCTCTGTTAGACAGTGTCAATGCTAACCTTCTCATTGTTAGACAGTGTCAATGCTAACCTTCTCACTGTTAGACAGTGTCAATGCCAATCTTCTCACTGTTAGACAGTGTCAATGCTAACCTTCTCATTGTAAGACAGTGTCAATGCTAACCTTCTCATTGTTAGACAGTGTCAATGCTAACCTTCTCACTGTTAGACAGTGTCAATGCCAATCTTCTCACTGTATGACAGTGTCAATGCTAACCCTCTCTCTGTATGACAGTGTCAATGCTAACCTTCTCACTGTTAGTGTGAATACTAACCTTCTCTCTGTTAGACACTATCAATGCTAACCTTCTCATTGTAAGACAGTGTCAATGCTAACCCTCTCTCTGTAAGACAGTGTCAATGCTAACCCTCTCTCTGTATGACAGTGTCAATGCTAACCTTCTCTTTGTATGACAGTGTCAATGCTAACCTTATCTCTGTTAGACAGTGTCAATGCTAACCTTCTCATTGTTAGACAGTGTCAATGCTAACCTTCTCACTGTTAGACAGTGTCAATGCCAATCTTCTCACTGTTAGACAGTGTCAATGCTAAACTTCTCATTGTTAGACAGTGTCAATGCTAACCTTATCTCTGTTAGACAGAGTCAATGCTAACCTTCTCATTGTTAGACAGTGTCAATGCTAATCTTCTCACTGTTAGACAGTGTCAATGCTAACCTTCTCATTGTAAGACAGTGTCAATTCTAACCTTATCTCTGTTAGACAGTGTCAATGCTAACCTTCTCATTGTTAGACAGTATCAATGCTAACCTTCTCATTGTAAGACAATGTCAATGCTAACCTTCTCACTGTTAGACAGTGTCACTGTTTACCTTAATGTTAATCAATATGAAATAGTGTAGAATGTTGATCAGATGACTATGAAATAGTGTAGAATGTTTATTAGATGACTATGAAATAGTGTAGAATGTTGATCAAATGACTATGAAATAGTGTAGAATGTTGATCAAATGACTATGAAATAGTGTAGAATGTTGACCAAATGACTATGAAATAGTGTAGAATGTTTATCAAATGACTATGAAATAGTGTAGAATGTTGATCAAATGACTATGAAATAGTGTAGAATGTTGATCAAATGACTATGAAATAGTGTAGAATGTTGATCAGATGACTATGAAATAGTGTAGAATGTTGATCAAATGACTATGAAATAGTGTAGAATGTTGATCAAATGACTATGAAATAGTGTAGAATGTTTATCAAATGACTATGAAATAGTGTAGAATGTTTATCAAATGACTATGAAATAGTGTAGAATGTTGATCAAATGACTATGAAATAGTGTCAAATGTTTATCAAATGACTATGAAATAGTGTAGAATGTTTATCAAATGACTATGAAATAGTGTAGAATGTTGATCAAATGACTATGAAATAGTGTAGAATGTTGATCAGATGACTATGAAATAGTGTAGAATGTTGATCAAATGACTATGACTATGAAATAGTGTAGAATGTTGATCAGATGACTATGAAATAGTGTAGAATGTTGATCAAATGACTATAAAATAGTGTAGAATGTTGATCAAATGACTATGACTATGAAATAGTGTAGAATGTTGATCAAATGACTATGAAATAGTGTAGAATGTTGATCAAATGACTATGAAATAGTGTAGAATGTTTATCAAATGACTATGACTATGAAATAGTGTAGAATGTTGATCAAATGACTATGAAATAGTGTAGAATGTTGATCAAATGACTATGAAATAGTGTAGAATGTTGATCAAATGACTATGAAATAGATTCAAATGTTTATCAAATGGCTATGAAATAGATTCAAATGTTTATCAAATGGCTATGAAATAGTGTAGAATGTTGATCAGATGACTATGAAATAGTGTAGAATGTTGATCAGATGACTATGAAATAGTGTAGAATGTTGATCAAATGACTATGACTATGAAATAGTGTAGAATGTTGATCAAATGACTATGAAATAGTGTCAAATGTTTATCAAATGACTATGAAATAGTGTAGAATGTTTATCAAATGACTATGACTATGAAATAGTGTAGAATGTTGATCAAATGACTATGAAATAGTGTCAAATGTTTATCAAATGACTATGAAATAGTGTAGAATGTTGATCAAATGACTATGAAATAGATTCAAATGTTTATCAAATGGCTATGAAATAGTGTAGAATGTTGATCAAATGACTATGAAATAGTGTAGAATGTTGATCAAATGACTATGAAATAGTGTAGAATGTTGATCAGATGACTATGAAATAGTGTAGAATGTTGATCAGATGACTATGAAATATATTCAAATGTTTATCAAAAGACTATGAAATAGTGTAGAATGTTGATCAAATGACTATGAAATAGTGTAGAATGTTGATCAAATGACTATGAAATAGTGTAGAATGTTGATCAAATGACTATGAAATAGTGTAGAATGTTGATCAAATGACTATGAAATAGTGTAGAATGTGTATCAAATGACTATGAAATAGTGTAGAATGTTGATCAAATGACTATGAAATAGTGTAGAATGTTGATCAAATGACTATGAAATAGTGTAGAATGTTGATCAAATGACTATGAAATAGTGTAGAATGTTGATCAAATGACTATGAAATAGTGTAGAATGTTGATCAGATGACTATGAAATAGTGTAGAATGCTGATCAAATGACTATGAAATAGTGTAGAATGTTGATCAAATGACTATGAAATAGTGTAGAATGTTTATCAAATGACTATGAAATAGTGTAGAATGTTGATCAAATGACTATGAAATAGTGTAGAATGTTGATCAAATGACTATGAAATAGTGTAGAATGTTGATCAGATGACTATGAAATAGTGTAGAATGCTGATCAAATGACTATGAAATAGTGTAGAATGTTTATCAAATGACTATGAAATAGTGTAGTAAGTTATTCACTGTAGAACGATGTCGATTGACTACATATTAACTTCTAAAAGCATGTTTATGTACAAATATTACCAGCTTTGTTACCAAGGCATATATAGCGAGCGCTTTAACCGTTAAACAGAATGAAATTCCACTTGAGTCTATATTCCACTACAATACGTTAAATAAATATTCAATTAATTATGATTGTTAATTGTACACAATGGTGTATGTTATGATCACTACATCGTTCAAAACTGCGTCTACATCGACGCGTGCAAGAATGGCTACAAGTGTACTTGCTTGCTAAGATAAACAATATACCTAAGCTATTAATCGGAGAAAACTTGTACAAATATATTATTATATATTAATCAGAAAATGCTTTGTTAAAACCAATGGTATTTATTTGTAGCGCCTTAATTACGATGACTACAATGAAGAAGACCACAGAATTCATTCACCAATCAGCTGTCGCGGGTGCCTGCACGTGCGCCGGGAAGTGTGACGTAACCATCAGAATCTGAAAAATAATATAATGGAGTCAGCACATTATGATATAACAAACGAAGCCCCAGTATTTCTGTTTTGTAAGCATATACTTTTACTGAATGTATATATCTAAACCCAAATGACATTCAAAAACCAAAATTGAATGAAAATTGCAGGATTATTTTAAGGATATTCTTAATAACATAGATATAAGCTAATCTCCGATACCGTAAAATAAGAAAGTGACGGTTACGTTGATGAATTCCTACAATTTAGCGATGGATGTTGAGATATTTAGAAACTACTATAAAACAGGTGATGTCTTATAACGACAAACTTGATTAATTTAGTCGCTGACGTTTCCTGTCAGAGTTCCAGTAATTTTATCATAAAACTTAGTTTTCACTTCGCAGTACCTGTAAAACCACTTGATACATTTTTTCAGATACGATTCATAAAAATTGACATTGTTATTGGGGTTTGTTTTCACAAATAAATCGATATTGTGTACAAATGTTGTCTTTGTCTTTTGATACAGATTTATCTAAAACATCCACAGAGAGGGATTTCATATTCCAATTAATTCTTATAGGAAACCAACATAATGGAACCCAGAATACAACGCCTTTATATACATGTAAATATGTATGCTGTAATTATCATACAAGTAAACACACTTTCGTCATTTTCACATTAAAACAATTGACAGAAATTCATATTTTTTTATGTTTTGGGATTCAATATAAAACAAAACATAACATCGGATTTTGTTTGTGGATTTATTTATTTAGCGATCACGTGTCATACTATACCGAGTACATTTAATAACCTATACCAAAATCACGTGTCTACCCTTGGTAACATACACTAAAATCACGTGTCTACACCTGGTAACATACACCAAAATCACGTGTCTACACCTGGTAACATACACCAAAATCACGTGTCTACACCTGGTAACATATACCAAAATCACGTGTCTGCCTTTGGTAACATACACTAAAACCACGTGTCTACCCTTGGTAACATACACCAAAATCACGTGTCTACCCTTGATAACATACACAAAAATCATGTGTCTTCCCTTGGTTACATAAACCAAGATCACGTGTCTACACTTAATAAAATACATGTATATCTACACTAAGTAATCTTAAAAACAAACGTGTCTACATCGAATTCGCTTGCCAAAAACATCTAGTACAAGTACAAGAAACAATATTACAATGATTATCCTATCACTATTAGACAAAGAATTAATAACAAACAGCTTCTAACATTAAAAAATAAATCCTTGATCTGCAATATTAACAAGGGATGCAAATGTACATGTAAAACGATCCACAAATATACTGACCCTAACAGGACGTAGTAGAACAAACCACCAGTATACCGACCTTAACAGGACGTCGTAGAACGATCCACCAGTATACCGACCTTAACAGGACGTCGTAGAACGATCCACCAGTATACCGACCTTAACAGGACGAAGTAGAACAAACCACCAGTATACCGACCTTAACAGGACGTATTAGAACAATCCACCAGTGTACCGACCTTCATATGAGGTAGTAGGACGATCCACCAGTATACCGACCTTAACAGGACGTAGTAGGACGATCCACCAGTGTACCGACCTTAATAGGACGTAGTAGAACGAACCACCAGTATACCGACCTGAAGAGGACGTATTAGAACAATCCACCAGTGAGGCCTACAAATATTTCGACCTTGACAGGACGTAGTGGATCTCTTACGGGTATTCCGACCTTAATCATTTTGTGAATTTTAGGTGTTTCCCGGGTATTGTGAAGCTTTAGAAAGTATATGAGGAAATATATGATTATGTTGCCATCAACGATGCATTTTAAATATGAATCAAACCAATGCGATAATGACATTTGACCTCCCGAAATGTCCTCGGAGTTAAAGAGATCTGGTCCGGTTTCTTAAGTCTGTGTCACGATGTGATAAATATTTCATAACGGCAACATCATCAGATAATGTGGGTAGAAGCTGCTACATGTTACATGCTCACCTTCTCCGTGTTTAGCCTCTGAACCAACGACAAGGACCGATGTACGGACGGACGTATAGTCGTTGTTGGGGATTATATAACTAGTCACTATGGTGCTTACCTTCACTGTGGCTAGGGCGGTCATGCGGAACATTTGGAAGACGATCCATTGGAGTTCTGATTTTGGACTTTTCTATCCACGTAACCATCCATTTCTGGTCGGATAAGTCCTTGTATTTAGTAAGTTTCCCGTCCTGTGCAAAATTGTACTTGCGCAGTTTGAATCCGAGTGGAATGGTATCGTGGACGTAATATTGGTCCCTCTCATCGCCTACAGTGACGTCAATACGTACTGACGTGGCGTAATATACCGTGTGTATGAGGTAAAACTTGGTCAGGTGGTGAAAACCTGCAGCAGGTGACAACATGGCAAACACGTGAAAAAAATGTGTGACTTATTAGTACAGGCTAGCATCAACAGGTAACTAGAACTTGTGACAAAGATACACAGTTCAAGCGCTCTAAAACATGGTAACCAGAAAGTTTAAATATAATCCGTGTGTTGTCATCATCTGTACGATTAGTTATATATTAATTATAAACTGTTTTATAACATTTATAATTTGTTTATGTACTTTATATATAATTTAGTTTACTCTGTTTTATGTGTCTACTGTCTGTACACCTAGTTTACTCTGTTATATGTTTCTACTGTCTGTACACCTAGTTTACTCTGTTATAGGTGTCCACTGTCTGTACACCTAGTTTACTCTGTTATATATGTCTACTGTCTGTACACCTAGTTTACTCTGTTATATATGTCTACTGTCTGTACACCTAGTTTACTCTGTTATATATTTCTACTGTCTGTACACCTATTTTACTCTGCTATATATTTCCACTGTCTGTACACCTAGTTTACTCTGTTATATATGTCTACTGTCTGTACACCTAGTTCATTCTGTTATATATTTCTACTGTCTGTACACATAGTTTACTCTGTTACAGGTGTCCACTGTCTGTACACCTAGTTTACTCTGCTATATATTTCTACTGTCTGTACACCTAGTTTACTCTGCTATATTTTTCTACTGTCTGTACACCTAGTTTACTCTGTTATATATTTCTACTGTCTGTACACCTAGTTTACTCTGTTGTATATGTCTACTGTCTGTACACATAGTTTACTCTGTTATATATTTCGACTGTCTGTACACCTAGTTTACTCTTTTATATATTTCTACTGTCTGTACACCTAGTTTACTCTGTTATATATTTCTACTGTCTGTACACCTAGTTCACTCTGTTATATATGTCTACTGTCTGTACACCTAGTTTACTCTGTTATGTATTTCTACTGTCTGTACACATAGTTTACTCTGTTATAGGTGTCCACTGTCTGTACACCTAGTTTACTCTGTTATATTTTTCTACTGTCTGTACACCTAGTTTGCTCTGTTAACTATTTCTACTGTCTGTACACCTAGTTTACTCTGTTATGTATTTCTACTGTCTGTACACCTAGTTCTACTGTCTGTACACCTAGTTTACTCTGTTATATATTTCTACTGTCTGTACACCTAGTTTACTCTGCTATATATTTCCACTGTCTGTACACCTAGTTTACTCTGTTATATTTTTCTACTGTCTGTACACCTAGTTTACTCTGTTATATATGTCTACTGTCTGTACACCTAGTTTACTCTGTTATATATTTCTACTGTCTGTACACCTAGTTTACTCTGTTATATGTCCACTGTCTGTACACCTAGTTTACTCTGTTATATATGTCTACTGTCTGTACACCTAGTTTACTCTGTTATATGTTTCTACTGTCTGTACACCTAGTTTACTCTGTTATGTATTTCTACTGTCTGTACACCTAGTTTACTCTGTTATATGTGTCCACTGTCTGTACACCTAGTTTACTCTGTTATATATGTCTACTGTCTGTACACCTAGTTTACTCTGTTATATATGTCTACTGTCTGTACACCTAGTTCATTCTGTTATATATTTCTACTGTCTGTACACATAGTTATATATTTTACTCTGTTACTAGTTTACTCTGCTATATATTTCCACTGTCTGTACACCTAGTTTACTCTGTTATATTTTTCTACTGTCTGTACACCTAGTTTACTCTGCTATATATTTCTACTGTCTGTACACCTAGTTTACTCTGCTATATTTTTCTACTGTCTGTACACCTAGTTTACTCTGTTATATATTTCTACTGTCTGTACACCTAGTTTACTCTGTTGTATATGTCTACTGTCTGTACACCTAGTTTACTCTGTTGTATATGTCTACTGTCTGTACACCTAGTTTACTCCGTTATATATTTCTACTGTCTGTACACCTAGTTTACTCTGTTATATGTGTCCACTGTCTGTACACCTAGTTTACTCTGTTATATGTGTCCACTGTCTGTACACCTAGTTTACTCAGTATATAGGTTCTACTGTCTGTACACCTAGTTTACTCTGTTATATTTTTCTACTGTCTGTACACCTAGTTTGCTCTGTTAACTATTTCTACTGTCTGTACACCTAGTTTACTCTGTTGTATATGTCTACTGTCTGTACACCTAGTTTACTCTGTTGTATATGTCTACTGTCTGTACACCTAGTTTAGTTATATATTTCTACTGTCTGTACACCTAGTTTACTCACTGTCTGTACACCTAGTTTACTCTGTTATATTTTTCTGTACATAGTTTACTCTGTTACAGGTGTCCACTGTCTGTACACCTAGTTCACTCTGCTATATTTTTCTACTGTCTGTACACCTAGTTTACTCTGCTATATTTTTCTACTGTCTGTATACCTAGTTTGCTCTGTTATATATTTCTACTGTCTGTACACCTAGTTCACTCTCTTATATTTTTCTACCGACTGTAAACCTAGTTTACTCTGTTATATATTTCTACTGTCTGTACACCTAGTTTACTCTGTTGTATATGTCTACTGTCTGTACACCTAGTTTTCTCTGTTGTATATGTCTACTGTCTGTACACCTAGTTTACTCCGTTATATATTTCTACTGTCTGTACACCTAGTTTACTCTGTTATATGTGTCCACTGTCTGTACACCTAGTTTACTCTGTTATAGGTGTCCACTGTCTGTACACCTAGTTTACTCTGTTATATATGTCTACTGTCTGTACACCTAGTTTACTCTGTTATATGTTTCTACTGTCTGTACACCTAGTTTACTCTGTTATATATGTCTACTGTCTGTACACCTAGTTTACTCTGTTATATGTTTCTACTGTCTGTACACCTAGTTTACTCTGTTATGTATTTCTACTGTCTGTACACCTAGTTTACTCTGTTATAGGTGTCCACTGTCTGTACACCTAGTTTACTCTGTTATATATGTCTACTGTCTGTACACCTAGTTCACTCTGCTCTTATTATTATTGTCTTTATTTCCTGCAAAGATGAAGAGCATTACATACAAATTACAAAATAAATCAACTTGAAAAGCATACAATTAAGGTGGAAATGAATGTAGATGTTACAAATTATGATTATACATGCAATATATTAGTTTTATGTAATTTATACTCTGTGAAGAATTATATTACAAGTTATAATGTTATGAAATAATAACATACTAAGTATATATGTCACAATAATAGGTTTTAAGTGTATATAATACAGAAGGCCTCCTGGCGCACTATACATAGCCAAATAGTTAAAGCATCCTTTTTATAGAACATGCTGACCTCAGTCTAAATTGTTCAAAATCATGTTTGTCTAACTGATATGCTAGAGGACCTCCTAGTAAAATGTGAAGCAATATATACTCTGGCAACGATTGTAAGTATGAATTAAATTCAATACTCGAAATAGACACAATTGCGCACCATAAATCGTCACGTACAATTTCTGTTAATGAACAATGTAGAATTGCATGATTCACAATATCTGTATAAAAAAAATGACACAAAAATTGTGTATTTGAGTTTCGTATGGAAACAATAAGTTTGATTACTGTCTGTACACCTAGTTCACTCTGTTATATTTTTCTACTGGCTTTACACCTAAGTTATCTGGTTTTTCCTTCGTTCAGTTATTTACTTTTGTTGAACTACACTGAACTCCGGAAGTTATAAGACACGTGGAACCTTTGGTATTGTTGTGGATCGTTCCTGACACTTGGACTGATCAAGGGTAAAGTATCCGAAGGTTTACTCGGGAGCTGTCTGTTGGCCACAATTTTGACTTTAGATACTTGCATCAGGCCTAGCACTTTCAGGTACCTCTAAAAGTGTGGCAACTCTCACCTCCTGAATCTGCCTACTACATTAGAAACTCTGTTGGATCAGATAAAGAAATCGGAAAACAGACAAAAGTGGTCACAAGGAAAAGAACAGTAATGGACGGACGACACATGGTATACCATAACAAGATCAGTTATTGTGACAGAATTTCGGGGAAAAAACTCTAACTTCTAGTACAGAACACTTTAAAGCAATACATATATTACGATAACATGATAAACACATAATTAAACCTCCTATATACTTACCTTTATTGAGGATGTCTACTAGTAAAGAGTTTACTTCCGGAAGGACAGGATAATACTTTTTGTAACAACCATTTACTTCAACACTTATCGACTTTTTCAGTCCATTTCGCATATCGTTCTCTGAGAAACTGTAGCTTTGATTTAATGTCGAGCCTTCCTCTCGTACCGGTTTCATGTCCTCCATCAGGAACGAGGATTTTTCCTTAACAACAAAATCCTGCAGACGCCCGACTGCCATAGCACCCGGAACACGTCGGCGAAGCTTTTCAAAAGGTGATCGAGCTTCCTTTACGATAACACCGCCGAGGTCATAATAGGATGCATCTTTGAGAAACGGAACAGGAAATACTCCCTCACCTGTAATAAACAAGTTGAATTGTATTCCTGGTCACATAGAAAACTCCATCGCATGTAATAGATAAGTAACATGGTTTCTTTTGACATATGGAATACTCAATCGCCTGTAACAGACCCTTTGTCTCAAGAGCCGGTACGTCCTCTCCATTGACACAATCCAGCATTGATAACGACCAGTTCTCTCATACAAAGGTCGAGACAACGAGGTTACATATTACCAAATAAGAAATTGCATTGTAATCCACAAACTTTATCAAATATCATACTGGTATGTACTTATCTCTCCCTCTAATGTAGTCTCTTTATATCCAGTCAATAGTTGTGGTGTAACCTATTCTCGGACTTCCCTCCATAGATATCCTGCTGCAAAGACTTAGGGCAAGATAATACATGTTGTTCGTTAATACATACCCATCAACTGCACGCATACAACATCGCCGACAAATGGCCAGTTCTTCCTCGCTTTAGGCACCAATTGTTTAAACAACTGGTTCTGCATTTCTGATACTGCCAGCAACACGATACCAAAAGATAAACAATGACATGGGAATCGTGACGCGTTGCTATTGTCTACCTATTTTCGTCAATCTATGACGTCATAGTAGGCTGGATTGTATGACGTCAAAACGCTGCATGACAACAGGTGGCGTCAACAAAAGAGATAGAGAGCTGTGGCTTTGAGTGCCACGATGGCCCGCCATCTTACCATGAAAAAAAGCATTTTCCAAAAGCTAGATTTGACCGACGCGAACCTCGCTTGGGAACTTGTCGGAAGTGAAGTGGTCAGGCTGTTTGCAGGTAAAATTCAACGACATCAAAAGACTGAGCTCCACAGGAACATTTCTAGTAACACAGCCAAATGCTATAATTTTCGGATGATGTCTCTCTTCAATCACGGTAATTCAGCATGTATACGTATACTGTATACGCTGGATATAAATAGAAAATAAATCATTCTTCGTCTATACAGTCCGTTATTGGTTTAGTATAAGTCACTTCCAATATTGTGTTAGAAACAAACTTCATACCGTTTGAAATGAGCAGATTGAAAAATACAGTACATGCATTGTTTCAGAAAATGTAGCTTTATTTTTTCAATGTGAAAACTGGCTGTTATAGTACACTTTAATGAATGTCATTACTATGTAATAAGAAAAAGTAATAAAATAAAACTCTGCCCCCGGCTGGATTCGAACCAGCGACCCATCGATCTAATGCCTTGTTACATGTATAATTGCAGGTGAGCACCTCATTCCGATTCCAACTTTCAGCAGCAAACGTTCCCCGTGTGCCCCTGGATTTGTAGCACTTCGGAAGGAACGGACGTTTAGAGAATGGATGTTCAGACGGCCCCAGAATTTCCTCTTGACAGAATTTCTTTGGGATTTCCATCCTGCGTGGGACGACAAACAACGTATTCTCCACTCCAGCTCAAAACTGGAAGATACCGAGGCCAGCTTTGTGTACGAAAGATCTCTAACGAGTAAGGGCAAAAGTAAGACAGTCCGTGTAGTGCTGAACGGCAAAGAAAAATCCTCTCTGGATGAGATGCCGGGGGAGATGACCATTGACCTTGAGAATTTTGGTAAAAATCAATCTTTTTTTAATATACGAAAAACCACATATCGTTATTTCTATATGATTATCGATATGTCACTTTACAGAAATAGTATTGATTATCGATATGTCACTTTACAAAAATAGTAATGATTATCGATATGTCACTTTACAGAAATAGTATTGATTATCGATATGTCACTTTACAGAAATAGTAATGATTATCGATATGTCACTTTACAGAAATAGTATTGATTATCGATATGTCACTTTACAGAAATAGTAATGATTATCGATATGTCACTTTACAGAAATAGTAATGATTATCGATATGTCACTTTACAGAAATAGTAATGATTATCGATATGTCACTTTACAGAAATAGTAATGATTATCGATATGTCACTTTACAGAAATAGTAATGATTATCGATATGTCACTTTACAGAAATAGTAATGATTATCGATATGTCACTTTACAGAAATAGTAATGATTATCGATATGTCACTTTACAGAAGTAGTATTGGCCGAACTTAATTGGCGTACAACGCATATGTTAATATAGTATAGTGTATTCATTGCAGTGTCTTGCTGTAGGTTATTTTCGAACATTTTGTTAACAAAGTTGTCCCAATATTTGACCAAATATCGACACCTTTTCTGGGGATGGTGAATTTCTGTTACCCTTAACTTGACAGAGTTAGCCATTATTTACGTATGTGGGACACTGATATACTACCCGAAGGTATAGACTTTGGGTTAGAACTGGGATTTTCTGACGCCTGTAAATTGACAGTGCAATGCATGATGGGAGACATTCCTTATGAGGGTAGGGAATACATGTATGTACATTTTCTGTTCAGATAGTAATGGGACCTTTCGTTTCAGAGGACTCGTATTTCGATGATCTCGACATATTTCTGGTAGACACAGTGTATTCCTGTGACTCTGGTTTCCTTGAGGTAACGATAGATGACGACATAGCCAAGATAGAATTCTCAGCGAGGTTTCCGATAGGATTTAAACTCCTCAAACTTGATACTGGCTATGGCTCGTTCCCGCGAAAAATCAGAAGCATTAAACCGGTCAACGCTGGGAAATGGAAAGGCTTGTGGCTGGACCGATCTCATTACAAACATGCTCTTCACCAGATCATGCCTAATCAGAACAAATATGGTGAGAATAACACGCCCCTCAGTCCCAGACCCTGTCAGTGAATAGCTAACAAAACCAACATAGCGAGCATAACACGCCCCTCAGTCCCAGACCCTGTCAGTGAATAGCTAACAAAACCAACATAGCGAGCATAACACGCCCCTCAGTCCCAGACCCTGTCAGTGAATAGCTAACAAAACCAACATAGCGAGCATAACACGCCCCTCAGTCCCAGACCCTGTCAGTGAATAGCTAACAAAACCAACATAGCGAGCGTAACACGCCCCTCAGTCCCAGACCCTGTCAGTGAATAGCTAACAAAACCAACATAGCGAGCATAACACGCCCCTCAGTCCCAGACCCTGTCAGTGAATAGCTAACAAAACCAACATAGCGAGCATAACACGCCCCTCAGTCCCAGACCCTGTCAGTGAATAGCTAACAAAACCAACATAGCGAGCATAACACGCCCCTCAGTCCCAGACCCTGTCAGTGAATAGCTAACAAAACCAACACAGCGAGCATAACACGCCCCTCAGTCCCAGACCCTGTCAGTGAATAGCTAACAAAACCAACATAGCGAGCATAACACGCCCCTCAGTCCAAGACCCTGTCAGTGAATAGCTAACAAAACCAACATAGCGAGCATAACACGCCCCTCAGTCCCAGACCCTGTCAGTGAATAGCCAACAAAACCAACATAGCGAGCATAACACGCCCCTCACCCCTTGGCAGTGAATACACGTCCCTAACCCATTGGCAGTGAATACACGTCCCTCACCCCTTTTCAGTGAATACACGTCCCTCAGTCCCTGTTTGAGGATACCTAACGAACAAATGTGACAAGTATAAAATGTCGCTCACACCCGGTCAGTGAATATCTAACCAAACCATATGATCACAATCTGTCTGATAACAGCCAGTTAAATTATTTATTAATTGTTTTATTTCATTTGTATATTTAAGAGGGTTTTTTTAATTGTCTAATTTCTTCATGTTTTTGTTTTCCTCAACAGGAGGCGCTGCAGGCGATGTCTTAGGTATGCATAACACTCCTTTCAATCTTAACGATTAGAAAGGAAGATGTCCGAGGGTATCCGTGTACACAAAGGAATGAGGTTCAAAATGAGCAAATCCCTGAGCGTAAAATGAATGATGTTTATAATTAAAACAATGGATTGTACTAGTTTCTGTTGTGTCTTATTCCCTTTAAATCGTTAAATCAACATGATCATCATGTAATTCTAGACATATGTATCTACCAGACAGTAATGTAGAGAAACGGTGATTAGGTTCCAACCGTCCGTGTTGATAGTGTAATTCTAGACATATATATCTACCAGACAGTGATGTAGAGACACAGTGATTAGGTTCCAACCGTCCGTGTTTATAGTGTTATTTTAGACATATATATCTACCAGACAGTAATGTAGAGACAAAGTGATCAGTGTCCAACCGTCCGTGTTTATAGTGTTATTCTAGACATATGTATCTACCAGACATTAATGTAGAGACACAGTGATCAGTGTCCAACCGTCCGTGTTTATGGTGTTATTCTAGATATATATATCTACCAGACAGTAATGTAGAGACACAGTGATAAAAATGTTATTGCTTATTTCTGAAACTATTTGGAAAACACAAAGAGAAGCAACAAAATACAAAATCTATTTTATTGGTATAAAATTAATTACAACAAACGATCGAGATAATCAACATGTTTTAAGATAATCATCTACAACAGTGAAGCCCCCATATATAAAACGTAACATCTATGATAGTAATGTCTTATTACTTAATCTATAACCGCGACGCTATAACATCTATAACCGCCATGATATGTTATCTACAATCGCGTCGCTATAACATCTATAACCGCGACGCCATAACATCTATAAACTCGACGCTATAACATCTATTACCGCGATGCTAAAAATTCATAATCGGGATGATATGATATCAATCATCACGACGCTATAATATCAATAAACGCGATACTATAACATTTATAACCGCGACACAAAAAAATCTATAACCGCGACGCTATAACATCTATAACCGCGACGCTATGACATCTATAACCGCGACGCTATGACATCTATAACTATACCACGACTATGTAACACCTATGACCGCAAGGCTATAGCACCTAATAGCTTGACGCACAAGCATCAATTACTAAGTTACCACGTGTATTTACCACATGATATCGATCTTCATCTCTTAGTAACCACGTGTCTTTACCACGATATCGTGTCTTCGTCTCTAAGTTACCACCTGTCTTCACCACACGATATTTTGTCTTCGTCTCTAAATTACCACCTGTCTTCACCACACGATATCGTGTCTTCATCTCTAAGTTTCCACCTGTCTTCACCACACAATATCTTGTCTTCGTCTGTAAGTTACCACGTGTCTTTACCACGATAGCATGTCTTCGTCTCTAAGTTACCACGTGTCTTCACCACACGATATCGTGTCTTCATCTCTAAGTTACCACCTGTCTTCACCTCACGATATCTTGTCTTCGTCTCTAAGTTACCACGTGTCTTCACCACACAATATCTTGTCTTCGTCTCTAAGTTACCACCTGTCTTCACCACACGATATCTTGTCTTCGTCTCTAAGTTACCACCTGTCTTCACCACACGATATCTTGTCTTCGTCTCTAAGTTACCACCTGTCTTCACCACACGATATCTTGTCTTCGTCTCTAAGTCACCACCTGTCTTCACCACATGATATCTTGTATTTGATTAGAGCTCACATGTTAAAATATAACAAATGTTGCCGGAGGTCTTTAATTACAGAGAAAATATCTATATGTTCTAGAAACCAAAAACTATTAACAATGTTATCGTGTCCTAACTGTTACACATAGTATGGTGTGTCTTAAACTGTTTAAATGTTGTGATGTGGGTTTTTTTTCTAAATCCGAAGTTGTGAAACATTTTTATCAGTTGGTAAGTAATGTGTAATATGATTTTCGAATCTGTTTGTGACGTTTCGGTAATCACACTTTACCATCTTTTTATGAGACAAATGAGTAGTCAAATGGATATATGTTATGTTTTTAAGTCGATTACGACATGCGTTGTTTAAAATTTAATCGTAAATGTGCGAGAATGTATGGGACCCCTCTTCCCGATTTATAACCGGCCTGCTACAACATAACCAGATGGCTTACAAGACAAATCGTGGTAATGCTTCAAAACAAATTAACGGTTTCAGTGCAATCCAACCCAAAACTTCACAATATATCCCATAGCCACCCTGTTTAAGCTTTAAAAAGTTGGTAAGAAACTAAATCCATTGACTGACCTGTTGAAATGCACGCCTCATCTTGCCGACATATAAGTAATAAACACGAGATGGTCGGAGAATGCTTGGGCAAATCAACACTATAGCAGGATTTACTTCTACTTAAATTACATACATTGTTACTACTCGACCTAATTGTAATCCTAGTGTATCACATTCGTACATTTTCTACTACCTTACCGTACACGAATTTATAGCGTAGCCCAAAAAGTCCAGTAGATTTGATCACGATCTCGTACGCTTTAAAGTACGCAAAATTGTAGAACTACATGTAAAGCAGAGCCGAAAAAACCAGTTGAATATGTTACCACCCTGTACCGGGTAATACTCAGTGTATATAGAAATTATAACGATGCCGAAAAGACCTGTGGAATTAACAACCTTCCCATACCGCTTACTACGCAAAAATATGTACTAAAGAAAATGTTTGAATGAAATAAAATTAAAAGCAATTTGAACATACCGTCAGTCTACGCTTTTAACACCATAATTAACCATATATTAAAAAATCTTCGTCACATTTCAGAATTATTTATATAAACAATACACCAGCAACATTTACTGAGCTGTTAGCAAGTCTAAAATGTGGTACAGTATGTAAAAAGATGTGTGATACGTCACAATTGTATATACATAGGTGTGACACGTCACTACTGTATGTAGAAAGGTGTGTGATACGTCACAATTGTGTATAGAGAGGTGTGTGATACGTCACTACTGTATATAGAGAGGTGTGTGATACGTCATAAGTGTATAAAGAGAGGTGATTGATACGTCACAACTGTATGTAGAAAGGTGTGTGATACGTCACAATGGTATATAAAGAGGTGTGTGATACGTCACAATTGTATATAGAGAGGTGTGTGATACGTCACAACTATATGTAGAAAGGTGTGTGATACGTCACAATTGTATATAGAAAGGTGTGTGATACGTCACAAATGTATGTAGAAAGGTGTGTGATACGTCACAACTGTATGTAGAAAGGTGTGTGATACGTCACAATTGTATATAGAGAGGTGTGTGGAGCATCCCACTTGTATATAGGTTGGTGTGCGAAACATCACACCTGTATACAGAGAAGTGTGTGGAACATCACAACTGTGTGTAGAGATGGGTTTGGTACAGCTCAGACTCAGCCGGTGGTAAAGTGAGGCCTGTATTTCCAGTTAATCCCTGTGCGGAGCTGTAACTGGACAATTCGGACACAGCCTCCCTCAGTTCCTGCCGCAGACTACAGATGAGTTCCTGCTTCAGGTGTTGAAAATCAGCAACTGAATGGCTAGATGTACCGGTCCCCTGGCTATCATTACAGCTCCCTGCGAGTCCATGGTGATGACTCCCAGCAGTAGAACCTTTCTTTACAACCGACAGAATCTCGTGCTTCAAACTTTCAAAATGATTCTCCCCGCGAGCTATTTCCCGCTTTCGATCTTCTCTCAGCTCATACCTACAAAAATGAACAAACTCTGAGTACTTTATGCATTATCCGAATAATTTCATCTATCAATACTATTTACTTGTCTACATCTTCAGCACGTGTTCACATTACTCACAACTCACCTTAGACTAGATATGTCTTGTTTGATCTCTAACAAGTCGTCTTCATTGACCCCGTCCTGTTGTCGTTGTTTCTTGGTTTGGTGAATGTATCTACTGACCAGCCGTCTCATTACATCCTATAAATACACATCACTGTGACCGAAGGCTTCTCACTGTCTTATTTCAATCGATGGAGAGTTTCTATCTTATTCTCAATCTGTGCCATGGATCAATGTCAGAATTACTCAGCCAAAACTCAAAATAAATCAGAATTATAAAGATCCTTTTATGAAACGTTATTCAGACATCGGGGATGTACTCTAGAATCGACGGTAGGAAATCTATATACCTGCACATGTGTTTAGGCCATAATTTATGCACTGTCCAAAGTTCTTAGGAGATTTTTCATTAACGACAAACTCTTGCGATATGACAATCATTTCAAAAGCAGGGTTAGAACCTATAGTTGTCATTGTCTTAAAATTCCTTCTGCAGTTACCTGGTATATTAACTGGGAGTAAGATAGAGGCATATTAACTGGGAGTAAGATGGAGGCATATTAACTGGGAGTAAGATGGAGGTATATTAACTGGGAGTAAGATGGAGGTATATTATCTGGGAGTAAGATGGAGGAATTCGTTACCTGGTATATTAACTGGGAGTAAGTATATTAACAGGGAGGTATATTAACTGGGAGTAAGATTTAGGAATTCGTTACCTGGTATATAAACTGGGAGTAAGATGGAGGTGTATTAACTGGGAGTAAGATGGAGGTATATTATCTGGAAGTAAGATGGAGGAATTCGTTACCTGGTATATTAACTGGGAGTAAGATGGTTACCTGGTATATTAACTGGGAGGAGGTATATTAACTGGGATGGAGGTATATTAACTGGGAGTAAGATGGAGGTATATTAACTGGGAGTAAGATGGAGGAATTCGTTACCTGGTATATTAACTGGGAGTAAGATGGAGGTATATTAACTGGGAGTAAGATGGAGGTATATTATCTGGGAGTAAGATGGAGGAATTCGATGGAGGTATATTAACTGGGAGTAAGATGGAGGAATTCGTTACCTGGTATATTAACTGGGAGTAAGATGGAGGTATATTAACTGGGAGTAAGATGGAGGTATATTAACTGGGAGTAAGATGGAGGAATTCGTTACCTGGTATATTAACTGGGAGTAAGATGGAGGTATATTAACTGGGAGTAAGATGGAGGAATTCGTTACCTGGTATATTAACTGGGAGTAAGATGGAGGTATATTAACTGGGAGTAAGATGGAGGAATTCGTTACCTGGTATATTAACTGGGAGTAAGATGGAGGAATTCGTTACCTGGTATATTAACTGGGAGTAAGATGGAGGTATATTAACTGGGAGTAAGATGGAGGAATTCGTTACCTGGTATACTAACTGGGAGTAAGATGGAGGTATATTAACTGGGAGTAAGATGGAGGAATTCGTTACCTGGTATATTAACTGGGAGTAAGATGGAGGTATATTAACTGGGAGTAAGATGGAGGAATTCGTTACCTGGTATATTAACAGGGAGTAAGATGGAGGTATATTAACTGGGAGTAAGATGGAGGAATTCGTTACCTGGTATATTAACTGGGAGTAAGATGGAGGTATATTAACTGGGAGTAAGATGGAGGAATTCGTTACCTGGTATATTAACTGGAGTAAGTGGAAGACCTGGTATATTAACTGGGAGTAAGATGGAGGTATATTAACTGGGAGTAAGATGGAGGTATATTAACTGGGAGTAAGATGGAGGTATATTAACAGGGAGTAAGATAGGGGAATTCGTTACCTGGTATATTAACAGGGAGTAAGATGGAGGTATATTAACTGGGAGTAAGATGGAGGTATATTAACTGGGAGTAAGATGGAGGTATATTAACTGGGAGTAAGATGGAGGTATATTAACTGGGAGTAAGATGGAGGTATATTAACTGGGAGTAAGATGGAGGTATATTAACTGGGAGTAAGATGGAGGTATATTAACTGGGAGTAAGATGGAGGAATTGGTATATTAACTGGGAGTAAGTATATTAACTGGGAGTAAGATGGAGGTATATTAACTGGGAGTAAGATGGAGGGTTACCTGGTATATTAACTGGGGTATGGAGGTATATTAACTGGGAGTAAGATAACTGGGAGTAAGATAGAGGAATATTAACTGGTATATTAGGAATTCGTTACCTGGAGGTATATTAACTGGGAGTAAGATGGGGAGGAGGTATATTAACTGGGAGTAAGATGGAGGTATATTAACTAAGGGATAAGATGGAGGTATATTAACTGGGAGTAAGATGGAGGTATATTAACTGGGAGTAAGATGGAGGAATACGTTAACTGCTATATTAACAGGGAGTCACCTGGTATATTAACAGGGAGTAAGATGGAGGTATATTAACTGGGAGTAAGATGGAGGAATTCGTTACCTGGTATATTAACTGGGAGTAAGATGGAGGTATATTAACTGGGAGTAAGATGGAGGTATATTAACTGGGAGTAAGATGGAGGTATATTAACTGGGAGTAAGATGGAGGTATATTAACTGGGAGTAAGATGGAGGTATACTAACTGGGAGTAAGATGGAGGTATATTAAGTTGGAGTAAGATGGAGGAATTCGTTACCTGGTATATTAACAGGGAGTAAGATGGAGGTATATTAACTGGGAGTAAGATGGAGGAATTCGTTACCTGGTATATTAACTGGGAGTAGGATGGAGGGATGCTGTAAGGTTCTCCGTTGAAAGCAGGTCTCTAAAGTAAAGATGGGATACAGCATATAGTATCTACATTGATGACATTTAAAATTAATTGGCAATGGATTCTAAAATCTTAGTAATGAGCAAAAAACAATATCATGTTAATATACAATCAATAAAGTTAAGGATTATTTTAGTATAGAGGTGGGTAGTGACCACACTTACGGACTGTTTCACTATACGTCGCAGTCCGGATCCACTCTCCCCGGTCTGTAGTGGTTTGTAAATAAAACAAAAGGTTAGTGTTGTGAATGATCTAGGAACAAAATCAGTGGTGCGGAGGTATTCATTGGTTACACTTAATATTTACTATGGGCACGAATCACCAAGTCAGAATATTGAATATCGTGTTTTGTAAAATAGTTATAGCCTAAATAAATTGGGACATTGTCTGTACAACAGGAACCAATGAAACATTCCTAAATCACATAGCACCGTATGAGGCAATTGTCTTTATTTGACACTACAAAACATGTTTACCATAGTAATCGGGACATAATGACAACACATATAGATTACGTGAGGAGGATATAGCCTCGACAGAACCATACATTTAGCAAGGACAACACACAACTTGAAAGGCATTGTAGACAAAAATACTGCCTGACCAGAAAATAAAAAGTGACCAGGACGTAGCCCAACAAGAAAGATACAGAAAGTGAGAGTATTTTCGGAACAGATAGATACAGAAAGTGAGAGTATTGTCGGAACAGATAAATACAAAAGTTGAGAGTATTGTCGGAACAGACAGATACAGAAGGTGGGAGTATTGTCGGAACAGATAGGTACAGAAGGTGAGAGTATTGTCGGAACAGATAAATACAGAAGTTGAGAGTATTGTCGGAACAGACAGATACAGAAGGTGGGAGTATTGTCGGAACAGATAGATACAGAAGGTGAGAGAGAACTGCTAGATACATTGTACTGAAGGTGAGAGTATTGTCGGAACAGATAGATACAGAAGGTGAGAGTATTGTCGGAATAGACAGATACAGAAGGTGGGAGTATTGTCGGAACAGATAGATACAGAAGGTGAGAGTATTGTCGGAATAGACAGATACAGAAGGTGAGAGTATTGTCGGAACAGATAGATACAGAAGGTGAGAGTATTGTCGGAACAGATAGATACAGAAGGTGAAATACAGAAGTTGAAAGTATTGTCGGAACAGATAGATACAGAAGGATACAGAAGGTGAGAGTATTGTCGGAACAGATAGATACAGAAGGTGAGAGTATTGTCGGAACAGATAGATACAGAAGGTGAGAGTATTGTCGGAACAGACAGATACAGAAGGTGAGAGTATTGTCGGAACAGATGGATACAGAAGGTAAGAGTATTGTCGGAACAGATAGATACAGAAGGTGAGAGTATTGTCGGAACAGATAGATACAGAAGGTGAGAGTATTGTCGGAACAGATAGATACAGAAGGTGAGAGTATTGTCGGAACAGATGGATACAGAAGGTGGGAGTATTGTCGGAACAGATAGATACAGAAGGTGGGAGTATTGTCGGAACAGATAGATACAGAAGGTGAGAGTATTGTCGGAACAGATAGATAAGAAGACGAGGATGCAATTAGATCAGAAACAGATTAGAAAGACACGGTAGACGAAAGTGCTGGACAAGGCGAAAGACTCCAGAGGTACATTTTGCGAGAGCCTAGTTAGATCAGAAGCATGTATGTGGCGAAGTAAGAGCCCATACAGAAATATGAGGTCTTATCACTATGAAAAGAATCGCAAATATGATACTTAATAGCACAACAACAGAGGAGACACAGAAGCGACAAAGACGAACTCGTGAATTGTTAGATCAGACATGTAAGATACTGGTGTCTTCATGTCTTCTGTTTGTACTACTGTCGTATGATCACAGATTCTTTATAAAGGTGGGCGTCCTTTTTAACATCCGAGGTAGGTGCTAATCTTCGCCTCCAGCCAGCCTGTCTTTCTGTAACATTTTACGGGGTCCAATTCTACGTTGATCGTCACACAGCTACCTAGTGTGGTTCAGACGATTGAACAAACAGTGTAACCAATATGTCAACAACTTGACTATTAACAGTATGATCGGTCACTGTAGAGAGATTGCGGTCATCAAAGAACAATAGATGTCGCGTAATGGGTATTACACAACGAAGTTTATACTTGCACGTTCAGCGACGTCAAGGAGGAAAGGTATGATTTTTTGTGCAATATATAAACAAGCTGTATCTATGGAAATTGTTACCAAGCGATGACAACAGGAAGTTTGGAACTGACACAAGATACAAGACAGTGCACGACCATGGTGTGATGTGTGCGTTTCTCAAAATATCATCGGACGATATCATGAGGTTTTCAGGATTCAGCATAAAATTTCTGTCCTACTTGAGACAACAGGGAGGAAAACACGACGTGATCAAATTGGAGGACAACATCGACAGACATTGGCAGATACAGTTGTACGTATATTTAGTACCACCGGAAATGTAACGATAATCACGTGACCCTCACCGTAAACACTGACAGGTTGTCTAAAGCTAGCCCCGGTAACCTAGAAGCATGTTCTCCCGTGCTGGGTGAGAAATTCTGCTACATAGCAAAATCAAACAATTATCATTTGAAAATAAATAGAAAGGAAAACAGACAAGAAAAATAAACGAATTCAAGTTAAATGTTTATACACCTCATATTACCATGACAACCGATCACCGGATTCCAATAGAATATCATTGTACCTGGTATCTCGTAGAGTTCGATTTTGGAGCCAAAAATGAATTGTCTTACTTCAGTTATCCAGAAATAATCATTCGTTGAACAGGTAAGATGACCATAATTTTAAATAGAGGTAATAATTAACAAAGCTGTGAGTACAAAGTGTATGCATGATACTGTTTATTCTTAATGTACGAAGGTAGATGAATGGATCGCCAAGTTACGTCTTTATAAATTATCAAATATTTCTTCCAAAGTTACCAACAAATAGCCTTCAGAATCCGTTTAAACAGTCTTTTAGTTTATCGTTCGCCAAAAAGTAATTGTTTACCTCCTTTACAAGTTTGATCTTTATAAATGATCAAATATCAGGTATGTTTACGTCCTTTCCAAGTGACATCATTATAAATGATCAAATATCAGGTATGTTTACGTCCTTTCCAAGTGACATCATTATAAATGATCAAATATCAGGTATGTTTACGTCCTTTCCAAGTGACATCATTATAAATGATCAAATATCAGGTATGTTTACGTCCTTTCCAAGTGACATCATTATAAATGATCAAATATCAGGTATGTTTGCGTCCTTTCCAAGTTAGACCTTTATAAATGATCAAATATCAGGTATGTTTGCGTCCTTTCCGAGTTTGATCTTTATAAATGATCAAATATAAGGCACGTTTACTTCCTAAGTTAGATCTTTATAAATGATCAAAGATTAGGTATGTTTGCGTCCTTTCCAAGTTAGAATTTTATAAATTATCAAATATCAGACATGTTTACGTCTTTTTTAGGAAAATAAAAGATATGGAAAAGCAAAGAGAAAATAACCTAGACTTACTCCTATTGTATGACTTACCGGGAAGTTACAGAGACTTACACACCTACACTAATGTGTAGAAGATCCCGCGGAGATAGGATGGAAGTCTACAAAAACACGATATGATTATGATGTGTCCATCATCTTTCAGGGACGATTCATCAACAAATGGACACGACTTAAAAATTGTTTTTGAAAAACCTTTCCAGATTAAACAATAGACTATTTTCATTTACAAAAAGAACTGTCGATATATGGATAAGTCTTCCGCCAAATGTAAATTCAAGCACTGTTTTTTTAATATTAATATCGCAACGATATTGTTTTAAAGAAAATGTTGAGCTGTATGTATTACGTTTCTAAGTAACATTTTCATTCCAGAGCTTACTATTAAAAAGGTTGTGAAATACTTATTTGTCAGAACAAAATATTTGTATCTATACATGTATGTGCGACAAATACATATATTGTACACATCATGTATAATGCCGTTGCAACAGTCCTGTACTAGTTGGGTACAATTTAATTTTGATGCTGACATTTTTGGAAACAAGTAAAATTATCTACAAGATTCACGAATGGTTGTACACTAGGCCAATGCCGCTTTGTTCCATGTCTCGACTAAATAAAAAAAATCCCAATTACCTATATATGAAAGTCCAAATGTATTCTATGTTATAACTTAAATTCCAGGATGGCTGCGTGATTTTAAGGGGATTATTGAACATAAAAGTAAAAACTTTGAAAATATTAATGATGTGATGCACATAAAATTGGGAAGGGGTGGGGTTTAAGTAATTGATAATAATTCGTGATGAAACAAGGGGAATCTTTGGACCCATCTTGGTATGATCTTAATTGTTTCTTTAAAAACAACCATTTTCTTTCCTGATCAGTCTCAAAATTACAAGAACATGCATCACAAAACTAGGGATCAATTTCAAATTCGAAATAGTACAAGGTATCAGAAGGAACAAAAATATTAAATTCGAGATATATCTAGCTAGTATTTCATTTTCAGAATCTAAGACAGACGAACGTCAGCCATTTTGTTTATCTGATAAACCCAAAAATCAAAAGGCCACATCAAAGAATTAAGAGGAACCTTCATACCAGTGTGAGAAAGACGGACCACGAACGCAGAATTTGAACAGCCCATCTGATGATGGTGAACTACTTAAATGAAATCCTTGCAGTCACGCACTCCCGGCAAAACACACCACATGCTGTCAATTCTCAATTGTTCTTACCCACAATGCATCAGTCAGTTTCATATATGGTTTCCAGGAAGTGCTCGCTGGAGTGACCTACCTTGATCGTCCCGGATGAGGTGCGATGCTGACGTTTTTTGTACCGGCGGGAACGGAAACACTTGCAGAGGAAAGCGTTACACGAACGAAGACAGTAATAAATGGACTTTGGACTGATGATGAGGTTGAAGGGAGCGGGAAGGGTTGATCCTTCGTCAAAGTAGCCCATCCAAAGCTTGGAGCGGCAAAATTTCCACTCCATATCCGCGTGGTTCTGTCGGTGACATTACAATAATCTTTGTCAGCGCACGTTCTATACATAATTTTATGAAACAAACAAAAGGTTACGCACAACAGGAAAATGTAGTAGCAGTTAATCGCGTATGAATATATGTAAATATCAGTGGACTTGCTACTACAAGCCACGTGTCCCCGTAAAGAAACAAATGCCAGAATATGGACTAAATCGTATACTCTAAATACTCATAAAGTTGGAAATAGATAAGATAGTGCAACTTTATTTAGATACAATTATTCAAATACATCAACATTTTCCTTTTGTTCATCTGCTGTCTGGAGAAAGTAGGCGTGGCATAACTGTGAACAGCTGTAGTAAATGGCTGTCGTGACGCTAAAACTTTTCGATCTTGACACGATAATGTTTATATCTGACTTTCTGTCTGTTGTTATTATTATAATGAACCACTGTAAATACTTTTTTTAATTTATGAGATGAAATATCCAACGTGAAGACAAGTTTGTAAACGCTTCACGTTGATGTCACTTACTTTATGTTGCTTTGGATTCGTGTCTAAATATGATGTCGGAAATGTACATTTTAGCTACTGTACTGATGCCAGGTTGTCCTTATAAGGATGTCTTGATAGATTATCTCACAGATTCAAAACTAATAACAATCTGACGATCGTTCAACAGATAAATATATACATTTGCGACAAATTCAGTAGTCGGTCTAAATGGCAGTAGATATATTGAAGTAAAGCTGAAATAGTATACACAGTGATAAGTCTACATGCAAATCCCGAATCTTGCACTCATAGAATTTTCACTGGACTCGTAGAATTTGTGGAAATACTTAAATTTTCCATTATGGGAATTCTTTATATTCACTCCAGATTGTGCAGCATACACCTACACGCATAGCATTCACAACCAATATATTATCAAAGAGCACACGTTTTCTGACAAGCTTTATCAGAAGCCTGGAAATGAGTGCTGCAGAAAATGTTGATCCATGTACATACTAGCGTTGACAGGGGTAGACGGGGGTTTACTGTGTGTCTTAAGTGGAATAGGAAATGATACGTCCGTCCTACTCCCGTCCTTACCCCCGTCCTACACCCGTCCTAACTCCCATCCTACTCCCTCCTAACTCCCATCCTACTCCTTTCTTACTCCAGTCCTACTCATGTCCCTACTCCCGTTCTTACTCCCATCCTACTTCCTCCTAATTCCCATCCTACTCCCACCCTACTGCCGTCCTACTCCCGTCCTTACTCCAGTCCTACTCCCATCCTACTCCCTCCTAACTCCAGTCCTACTCCCGTCCTTACTCCCATCCTACTCCCTCCTAACTCCAGTCCTACTCCCGTCCTTACTCCCTCCTAACTCCAGTCCTACTCCCGTCCTAATTCCCATCCTACTCCCTCCTAACTCCAGTCCTACTCCCGTCCTTACCCCCGTCATACTCCCACCTTAACTCACGCGCTTACTCGCGTTTTAGTTCCTGTAATGCTACATACCTCTATATTTTGGTAGGAGTTGGACATCATGGCTATCAGCATGTTGATGAGGACGATTGAAGCCATACCGTGATAAGCCATAAAAAGCAGCATTCCCATCAGTTCAGTGAAGTACTGACCTTGAGGAATCTTTATGTCCTTCAGGGCGGTCAGTCCAAACAGTGACCAGTATAATGTAATGTAAGACTCGCCCAACCTGTAATACAGTAATCTACATGCTCAGTAAGTACAGAATGGGTAGTATCGGTCTTCATCGGGATCAAAAGGGAGAAAATCATTACGTTTTATCAGTATAAATGTACATTCACAAGATATATATAGGGTATACTTAGGTATAAAAGGAGTCTGGGTCTCCCTCTGATGACTTCCGTTGCTATATATAGAGTATACTTACGTATAAAAGGAGTCTTAGTCTCCCTCTCTGATGACCGCCGTTGCTATATATAGAGTATACTTAGGCATAAAATGGGTTTGGGTCTCCCTCTGATATACTTCCGTTGCTATATATAGAGTATATTTAGGTATAAAGGAGTCTGGGCCTCCCTCTGATGACTCCCGTTGCTATATTTAGAGTATACTTACGTATAAAAATAGCCTGAGGTCTCCCTCTGATGAATTCCATTGCTATATATAGAGTATACATACGTATTAAAGGAGTATGGGTCTCCCTCTGATGGACTTCCGTTGCTATATATAGAGTATACTTACGTATAAAAGGAGTCTGGGTCTCCCTCTGATCGACTTCCATTATAGTACCAATAGAGCTGGTTCAGGCCACAGGCAAACGATGTAAGGACGAGGAAGAAAATGAAGAGGAACTTAGCAATATCAATAAGCATGCAACCAAGCGAGATCTGCATCGGCCCTAGGTGTTGGTTCGCCTGGAATAGGTAAATTATTCTAGAGAAACTGAACACGTTTGCTACAGCAAACAAACTCTCCGAAATAAGTGTTGGATCAAAAGAAGGCCAATCACTCCGAGCCATTTCTCTGGGACCGTATTTATCTGATGTGATAAGGATGTACGCGACGAGACGTAAAGAGAAAGTAGCCAGGTACAGTGACAACATTATAAAATCCAACCAGTTCCACCATTGACGGATATAAGCTTTTAGTCCCTCTTCCCATAACTGTTTCACTTCCTGCCACACAAATCCTGAAACATCAAAATACTAAGATCACAACCACACAAGCACGTATAATATGAAACAAACGCATGTAAGACGCTTCATTGTCAATACACAAATCTGCTGACTCATCCAGTTCAAAAATAAATGTTCCATGGAACATATGTGAAATGTACACAATATTCTGAAGATTTTACAAAGTACACACAAACGAATAGCATATATTGATAAAAATATCGAGTTAGATACAGTAGAGAAACAACGATGAACGAAACTTCCTCATGTAGCTGTTTCTCTCACTGAGGGTATGTGGCCTACTGGGTAAGGCAAGGGGGGATTTACTCAGTAGGACATAAGACTAGAATATGTGACAAATGTAAAATTATGACTGACGAGGTCGCCACTAATAATATGTATGCATACCAGTCACCCAAAACACAATGAACCATTCTAGCTGTGACGGCGGTGGTCCTCTGAAACGTTCCCTGTTCGAGTCGCCACTGATTTCAGTGGAAACACATACTAGTAGAAACAGAAACACTCCGAATGATGCGCTGTGATATAGAAATTTCATGAATGGACTTCGTAGAAGCTGGCCAATCTTACTGCGTGGGAAAATGAGATAATACACAGCCATGAACGGGACAAGGAGAATGAGGCCGATACAAAGTAAGAATTTAGTCACTCCATTCCTCTTCCTCCAGCCGGGCAAACCTTCATACCAAATGGACGTCAATAGCTGCTGGCAGTGCGGATGTGCCACAAACTGAAAATAGGACATTATACGAAAATGTGTCACGACACGAAAACATGTTATTAAAGAAAACAAAACCATGTCATTAAACGAAATCTAAAGTATGTCTTTACACGAAATCTAAAGTGTGTCATTTAACGAAATCTAAAATATGTCATTAAACGAAATCTAAAGTATTTCATTACACGAAATCTAAAGTATGTCAATAACGAAATCTAAAGTATGTCATTAAACCAAACAATAAAGTTACAGGGTCACTGTCAACAAAACAATAAAGTTACAGGGTCACTGTCAATCTAACAATAATGTTACAGGGTCACTGTCAATCTAACAATAAAGTTACTGAGTCACTGTCAATCTAACAATAATGTTACAGGGTCACTGTCAACAAAACAATAAAGTTACAGGGTCACTGTCAATCTAACAATAAAGTTACAGGGTCACTGTCAACAAAACAATAAAGTTACAGGGTCACTGTCAGTCAAACAATAATGTTACAGGGTCACTGTCAGTCAAACAATAAAGTTACAGGGTCACTGTCAACCAAACAATAATGTTACAGGGTCACTGTCAACAAAACAATAAAGTTACAGGGTCACTGTCAACTAAACAATAATGTTACTGAGTCACTGTCAATCTAACAATAATGTTACAGGGTCACTGTCAACAAAACAATAAAGTTACAGGGTCACTGTCAATCTAACAATAATGTTACAGGGTCACTGTCAGTCAAACAATAAAGTTACAGGGTCACTGTCAACCAAACAATAATGTTACTGAGTCACTGTCAACAAAACAATAAAGTTACAGGGTCACTGTCAATCTAACAATAATGTTACAGGGTCACTGTCAGTCAAACAATAAAGTTACAGGGTCACTGTCAACCAAACAATAATGTTACAGGGTCACTGTCAACAAAACAATAAAGTTACAGGGTCACTGTCAACAAAACAATAAAGTTACAGGGTCACTGTCAATCTAACAATAATGTTACAGGGTCAAACAATAAAGTACAGGGTCACAACTGTCAACAAAACAATCAATGTTACACTGTCAGTCACTGTCACTGTCAACAAAACAATAAAGTTACAGGGTCACTGTCAATCTAACAATAATGTTACAGGGTCACTGTCAGTCATACAATAATGTTACAGGGTCACTGTCAATCTAACAATAATGTTACAGGGTCACTGTCAGTCAAACAATAATGTTACAGGGTCACTGTCAATCTAACAATAATGTTACAGGGTCACTGTCAGTCATACAATAATGTTACAGGGTCACTGTCAATCTAACAATAATGTTACAGGGTCACTGTCAGTCAAACAATAATGTTACAGGGTCACTTTCAACAAAACAATAAAGTTACAGGGTCACTGTCAATCTAACAATAATGTTACAGGGTCACTGTCAGTCAAACAATAAAGTTACAGTCATACAATAATGTTACAGGGTCACTGTCAATCTAACAATAATGTTACAGGGTCACTGTCAACAAAACAATAAAGTTACAGGGTCACTGTCAACCAAACAATAATGTTACAGGGTCACTGTCAACCAAACAATAATGTTACTGGGTCACTGTCAGTCAAACAATAATGTTACAGGGTCACTGTCAACAAAACAATAAAGTTACAGGGTCACTGTCAATCTAACAATAATGTTACAGGGTCACTGTCAGTCAAACAATAATGTTACAGGGTCACTGTCAACAAAACAATAATGTTACAGGGTCACTGTCAACCAAACAATAAAGTTACAGGGTCACTGTCAACCAAACAATAATGTTACTGAGTCACTGTCAACAAAACAATAATGTTACAGGGTCACTGTCAGTCATACAATAATGTTACTGGGTCACTGTCAATCTAACAATAATGTTACAGGGTCACTGTCAATCTAACAATAATGTTACAGGGTCACTGTCAGTCAAACAATAATGTTACTGGGTCACTGTCAACCAAACAATAAAGTTACAGGGTCACTGTCAACCAAACAATAATGTTACTGGGTCACTGTCAACCAAACAATAAAGTTACAGGGTCACTGTCAGTCAAACAATAAAGTTACAGGGTCACTGTCAATCTAACAATAATGTTACAGGGTCACTGTCAGTCATACAATAATGTTACAGGGTCACTGTCAATCTAACAATAATGTTACAGGGTCACTGTCAACCAAACAATAATGTTACAGGGTCACTGTCAACCAAACAATAATGTTACAGGGTCACTGTCAATCAAACAATAATGTTACAGGGTCACTGTCACAAACAATAATGTTACAGGGTCTAACAATAATGTTACAGGGTCACTGTCAGGGTCACAAAAATGTTACAGGGTCACTGTCACTCACTGTCAATCTAACAATAATGTTACAGGGTCACTGTCAGTCATACAATAATGTTACAGGGTCACTGTCAACCAAACAATAATGTTACTGGGTCACTGTCAACCAAACAATAATGTTACAGGGTCACTGTCAACCAAACAATAATGTTACAGGGTCACTGTCAACCAAACAATAATGTTACAGGGTCACTGTCAACCAAACAATAATGTTACTGGGTCACTGTCAGCCAAACAATAAAGTTACAGGGTCACTGTCAACCAAACAATAATGTTACTGGGTCACTGTCAACCAAACAATAATGTTACAGGGTCACTGTCAACCAAACAATAATGTTACAGGGTCACTGTCAACCAAACAATAATGTTACTGGGTCACTGTCAATCACACAATAATGTTACAGGGTCACTGTCAACCAAACAATAATGTTACAGGGTCACTGTCAATCACACAATAATGTTACAGGGTCAATGTCAACCAAACAATAATGTTACAGGGTCACTGTCAATCACACAATAATGTTACAGGGTCACTGTCAACCAAACAATAATGTTACAGGGTCACTGTCAATCACACAATAATGTTACAGGGTTACTGTCAACCAAACAATAATGTTACTGGGTCACTGTCAATCACACAATAATGTTACAGGGTTACTGCCAACTAAACAATAGTGGTATAGTAGTCCAGGTTTACAGAATTGTCCATTCTTGTCCTTCACGTCATCAATCATGCGGTAGATACGTTATCATCTGGTCCTGATAGGATTATAGATCCTCACTGGTTTAAAGCTCATAACGTTAAATATGATACCCACCTGTTTTTGCTCGTATTTAAGAGCAAGTTTTAACCTGGCTAGAGTGAGTTTGTTATTGTCCATCAAACCGTACTGTCTGTCATCAGAATCCTCGTCGTCGCTCTCTTTGTTGAGGACGGCGATGACTTCCTCACTCGTGCGACATTGATCAATCAAATCACAAGCATATTTCTTACACTGTTCGCTCAGGAGCATATAAGTGTCCTTAAATTCGTTCTCTCTGAGTGCCAGTTTTTGTAGTACCCATGAAAGTCGGAAAGCCGTGAGAATCGGATCAGGACTGGTCAAGGAGATCCACGCTGGACTAGCAAGAGCTTTGTATGTGTTAATCCTCAACAAAGAGTGACGTAAACTGTCTTCATGCACGTGCTCCTGACAAACCTTACATGAACAGGAGAGTTGATGGGGCTGTTTGATCTCCGCTCCCCGGAGGATGAGCAGTTGCAGAATCTCGAACTGGTTGCAATGGGATGCTAAAATGACGGGAGATATGTCCTGCGAGTAATCGGAACTCTCCTCTCCCGAGCGACGACACTTTGACCAATCTGAGCCCAACATGTCTAAAGTAATTGACGGGTGATCAATTAACATTTCCACAATCTTGTACACGCCTTCCCTAATAGCGTACAGCAACGCGTCCCCAATGCGGACGCCATCTTGTTGTAGAAGTACTTCCACCAATTCAACGTTCTCGTTGTCTACGGCGATCTGAATGGCGGAACGACCCAGCATGTTGGTACAGTTTACATTGACAGGGTTGGAGCCCTGGAGACAGCGGATGACGGTGTGTTTGTCCCCTCGCTCCACCGCCTCCAGGAAGATCCGTTCCGTCGTGTCCATGCCCTGGAACTCCTTCAAGGGTTCCAATGGCATGGTGATGGGACGGATCTTAGATGAGCGGTGTGAACTTCGTCTTTTCACAGACGAACGGGTCATGCCCTGCTTTAGACTGCAAATAAAGGAGCAATATTTAAATAGAAGTTACTGTTGAAACAATTATCAACAAAATACAATATAAAAGTCAAGTTGATAGTGAACAGAGAACAAAATATGAAGGTCGTCCTTGAAAACGTTCAAGGAAAAAGGACAAGGTTATCCGGGTGGACAAATGCCTTCCGATTTATCGACAACAACCTCCATGACAATCCAAGTGAGGTCCGTATGTCATGCATCATTTTTAACGATTTATGAGACAATGCTTTGTATTACAGATGTTGTTGGGAGATGATGCCTGATTCATAGCCGTGAATTGTAAAATATTTTTTAAGAAAGTAGATGACTGCATACATAGACGACAATAAAAAACATATTTATACAAATGCAGCTTAGACCGGTCGATAATAAGTTATATGTTACATCTGAAAGACTGTGGAGTTGTTATGGAAACACAAAGCTGATCAATAACTCATCTGAAGAAGAACGACTCACCTGACAATCATTATCACCAGTATATCAAACATTCTATTGCCATAGTAACGCAGCAATTGTCCTTTATAAAACTTTAAGTGTATATTGGTATGTTGTTGTTCAGTTGTCTGAACACGGAATGAACACGAGATATCGGGGACGACCATGGTAAACCAGGATCGCACTAAAGTTGTATACGATGTTGTCAGGCCATTAAAACAATACCAGCTTTACTTGGTAAAGGTATCTGATATTCCATATGTGTAACACGCTAGCGAACAAGCAATTACATAATACAGCTCTAACAATCATAACAAGTCTTTATACAAATATTATACCATACATATATATATATAGAAAAAACTTGATTTGACGAGATGCGAATAAATTATAAATAAAAATGATTTTTGACAAAAGAAGAAAGACGTTACATTATATATAGAATACCTACCGACCACCTATACTGATAACACACACAATACTGATACTGATATTCATTATATATATATACCTACCGACCACCTATACTGATAACACACACAATACTGATACTGATATTCATTATATATATATATATATATATATGATAACACACACAATATGATACTGATATTCATTATATATATATACCTACCGACCACCTATACTGATAACACACACAATACTGATACTGATATTCATATATATATATATATATATATATATATATACCTACCGACCACCTATACTGATAACACACACAATACTGATACTGATATTCATTATATATATATATATATATATATATATATATACAATACCTACCGACCACCTATACTGATAACACACACAATACTGATACTGATATTCATTATATATATATACAATACCTACCGACCACCTATACTGATAACACACCCAATACTGATACTGATATTCATTATATATATATATATATATATATATATATATAACACATATATATATATATTCATTATATATATATACCTACCGACCACCTATACTGATAACACACACAATACTGATACTGATATTCATTATATATATATATATATATATATATATATATATATATATACAATACCTACCGACCACCTATACTGATAACACACACAATACTGATACTGATATTCATTATATATATATATATATATATATATAATATATATATATATATAGAATACCTACCGACCACCTATACTGATAACACACACAATACTGATACTGATATTCATATATATATATATATATATAGAATACCTACCGACCACCTATACTGATAACACACACAATACTATATATATATATATATATATATAGAATACCTACCGACCACCTATACTGATAACACACACAATACTGATACTGATATTCATTATTATATATATATATATATATATATATATATATATATATATATATATAGAATACCTACCGACCACCTATACTGATAACACACACAATACTGATACTGATATTCATATATATATATATATATATATACCTATACTGATAACACACACAATACTGATACTGATATTCATTATATATATATATATATATAGAATACCTACCGACCACCTATACTGATAACACACCCAATACTGATACTGATATTCATTATATATATATATATATATATATATATAGAATACCTACCGACCACCTATACTGATAACACACCCCATACTGAGACACATAGTCATTATATATATATATATATATATATATATATATATATATATAGAATACCTACCGACCACCTATACTGATAACACACGCAATACTGATACTGATATTCATTATATATATATATATATATATATATATATACATACCTACCGACCACCTATACTGATAACACACGCAATACTGATACTGATATTCATTATATATATATATATAGAATACCTACCGACCACCTATACTGATAACACACCCAATACTGATACTGATATTCATTATATATATATATATATATAGAATACCTACCGACCACCTATACTGATAACACACCCAATACTGATACTGATATTCATGATATATATATATATATATATATAGAATACCTACCGACCACCTATACTGATAACACACCCAATACTGATACTGATATTCATTATATATATATATATATATATATATATATATATACCGACCACCTATACTGATAACACACCCAATACTGATACTGATATTATATATATATATATATATATATATATAGGGGCATACATGTATGATGGTCATAATAAAAGTATCTAGGGGGATTTTTATCATATATATATATATATATATATATATATATAATACCTACCGATCACCTATACTGATAACACACGCAATACTGATACTGATATTCATATATATATATATATATATATATATAATACCTACCGATCACCTATACTGATAACACACCCAATACTGATACTGATATTCATATATATATATATATATATATAGAATACCTACCGACCACCTATACTGATAACACACCCAATACTGATACTGATATTCATTATATATATATATATATATATATATATATATACCTACCGACCACCTATACTGATAACACACCCAATACTGATACTGATATTCATATATATATATATATATATATATATATAGAATACCTACCGACCACCTATACTGATAACACACAATACTGATACTGATATTCATTATATATATATATATATATATATATAGAATACCTACCGATCACCTATACTGATAACACACTGATATTCATTATATATATATATATATATATATATACCTACCGATCACCTATACTGATAACACACCCAATACTGATACTGACATTCATTATATATATATATATATAGAATACCTACCGATCACCTACACTGATAACACACCCAATACTGATACTGATATTCATGATATATATATATATAGAATACCTACCGACCACCTATACTGATAACACACCCAATACTGATACTGACATTCATTATATATATATATATATAGAATACCTACCGACCACCTATACTGATAACACACCCAATACTGATACTGACATTCATTATATATATATATATAGAATACCTACCGATCACCTATACTGATAACACACCCAATACAAATACTGATATTTATATATATATATATATATATATATATAGAATACCTACCGATCACCTATACTGATAACACACCCAATACAAATACTGATATATTATATATATATATATATATATATATAGAATACCTACCGATCACCTATACTGATAACACACCCAATACAAATACTGATATTTATATATATATATATATATATATATATATATACATACCTACCGACCACCTATACTGATAACACACCCAATACTGATACTGATATTCATTATATATATATATATATATATATATATATATATAGAATACCTACCGACCACCTATACTGATAACACACCCAATACTGATACTGATATTCATATATATATATATATATATATATATATATATATATATATATATAGAATACCTACCGACCACCTATACTGATAACACACCCAATACTGATACTGATATTCATTATATATATATATATATATATATATAGAATACCTACCGATCACCTACACTGATAACACACCCAATACTGATACTGATATTCATTATATATATATATATATATATATATATACTGATAACACACACAATACTGATACTGACCACCTATACTGATAACACACACAATACTGATACTGATATTCATTATATATATATAGAATACCTACCGACCACCTATACTGATAACACACACAATACTGATACTGATATTCATTATATATATATAGAATACCTACCGACCACCTATACTGATAACACACACAATACTGATACTGATATTCATTATATATATATACAATACCTACCGACCACCTATACTGATAACACACCCAATACTGATACTGATATTCATTATATATATATATATAGAATACCTACCGACCACCTATACTGATAACACACCCAATACTGATACTGATATTCATTATATATATATATAGAATACCTACCGACCACCTATACTGATAACACACACAATACTGATACTGATATTCATTATATATATATATAATACCTACAGACCACCTATACTGATAACACACACAAAACTGATACTGATATTCATTATATATATATATACCTACCGACCACCTATATTAACACACACAATACTGATACTATATATATATATATATAGAATACCTACCGACCACCTATACTGATAACACACACAATACTGATACTGATATTCATTATATATATATATATACCGACCACCTATACTGATAACACACACAATACTGATACTGATATTCATTATATATATATAGAATACCTACCGACCACCTATACTGATAACACACACAATACTGATACTGATATTCATTATATATATATATATATAGAATACCTACCGATCACCTATACTGATAACACACACAATACTGATACTGATATTCATTATATATATATATATATATATAGAATACCTACCGATCACCTACACTGATAACACACACAATACTGATACTGATATTCATTATATATATATATATATATAGAATACCTACCGATCACCTATACTGATAACACACACAATACTGATACTGATATTCATTATATATATATATATATATATAGAATACCTACCGACCACCTATACTGATAACACACACAATACTGATACTGATATTCATTATATATATATATATATATATATATATATATATACCTATACCACCTATACTGATAACACACACAATACTGATACTGATATTCATGATATATATATATATATATATATATATATAGAATACCTACCGACCACCTATACTGATAACACACACAATACTGATACTGATATTCATATATATATATATATATATAGAATACCTACCGACCACCTATACTGATAACACACACAATATATATATATATATATATATATATACCTACCGACCACCTATACTGATAACACACCCAATACTGATACTGATATTCAATATATATATATATATATATATAAATGGGAACAACATTTGCACGGAATTGCCGATCTGTACCGATATTGTGTAAACCAAACTACCAGTAGGGTATAAAATCTGGAGAAGGTACTCGTTACCGTCTGTGATCGTCCACTTATATTTACAAATCGAGTTCTAGACACAAGAATGGTAAACAGTATTAAAGAGGAAAGATACATACCACTCACTTCATCCGAAATAACTACAAATCCATTCGAGATAAAGGCTTGTGACGGGAATACAATTGAAACAGTCGGTTATCCAACATGCAGAGAAAACTGTTAGGAGGGTCGCATACTCTCTACAAACAGCTTCGGCACAGCACAAGTCCAAAAATCGATAATCACAGAACCTCACAGGGTCACACACACAGTTTGACGAAGATATCTTCGCCTCTCATGATCTCGTCCTCCTTCCATCGCTCGGCTTTGGTATGGTTTCGTAACTCAATAACACGTCAGATCTAATTTTTTTAATATTCAGTGGTATTCTCGACGTTTCATTGCTGCACACGTACGAAATAGTTTCTAAATCCTTTATATCGTCTCTATAAGATTCCGGTTATTCAACAAATAGTATTTTTTAAATAAAATATCTATTGAAAATACCAAATGTCGACTGTCAGTATCTAGAAATAGATATGACAATCAGATTATTTCTATGTTATCGCACGTTTTCACAGTTACAGCAGTTTGCGTGAATTCTAACACAAGTGTGTAGAATCTGTGGATCAGTTCAATCCACATGTATACTCCTTTATATATTGTTTAGGAGACACACAAGAGAATAGAATGCTGTGGTACAAATTTTGAGTTAGATACAGTTGAGCCAAACAATAAATTCAATTGCATCATATAGCTATTTCGTCCTTCTCGTTTTAAGCCTATGAGGCGACTAAGGAAATTCCAAAGTGATAGAAAAGTGAACATCTAGACGGAGAGATGTAGTAGCTCCTTAATTAAATAAATTTTGTAATTTTCAATTATCAGATAATTTTTGATAGCGTCAAATGCATGTGTAACGTCATGCAGGTTGGTTACGGCAAACATCGGGGACTTAAAAGTCCACCAGTAATATCTACCACCTGCTATCTTAAAGATTGTGCATAAGACATATAAGGGAATAGTACCTTATATCTCAACAATAACTCTCTCACGTGCACGGATTTTTATATTTTCCATTTCGCCGAGAATCAGATGTTTACACCACGACTCGTTTAATTGTCTATAAACAACATTGAAACATGTTTTCTCTCATTTTCTTGCATTTCTCATTTTACATCAACTTCTATCTTATCGTAAAACAATTTTAAACTTTTTCTATTTTGTAGACGTTCTCCAGTCTGTTACATCGGATTTATTCATCAGACTGCTGTTGTCGCAGCTGTACTATCATCTCTCGACCATTTGTCCTAGTGATAAGCTAATTGAAACTAGTAAACGTTTTGTAATAACCTACTGGACAACACGTCAGACGTAGATATCACGCATGATTTGTGATGTTGTTGTCCATATTCTACACAAGTTTGTGATAAATCTGTCCACTTTTCAGAATATCGTTTATAATTGAACTGAAGATAAAAGTGAGTGACATCTTTCATGCATATTTATAATTAGATACAGTAGAGCCAAGTAATCTATATCAAATCGTATCATTCAGGTGTATTTTCCTTCCCAGAGACCTATAACGTCTCCAGATATCAGGTCTAGGGACTACTGCACGGTCTTCAACCTGGTGGGCAGGCAGGCTGTTGAGCACTTCCCGCACTTCTTCAATATATATATATCATCAATGTGACAGGAGACCACCAAAAGCTGTTGCAAAATGTGTTCAGATACAAGTGCCCCAGTAATACACGGTGTGGAGTGTATGTGTCTCAGTAATACATGGTGTTGAGTACTTGTGTCCCAGTAATACACAGTGTTGAGTACATGTGTCTCAGTAATACACGGTGTTGAGTACATGTGTCCCAGTAATACACGGTGTTGAGTGTATGTGTCCCAGTAATACACGGTGTTGAGTGTATGTGTCCAAGTAATACACGGTGTTGAGTACATGTGTCCCAGTAATACATGGTGTTGAGTACATGTGTCCCAGTAATATACGGTGTTGAGTACATGTGTCCCAGTAATACATGGTGTTGAGTACATGTGTCCCAGTAATACATGGTGTTGAGTGCATGTGTCCCAGTAATACATGGTGCTGAGTACATGTGTACCAGTAATACATGGTGTTGAGTACATGTGTCCCAGTAATACATGGTGTTGAGTACATGTGTCCCAGTAATACACGGTGCTGAGTACATGTGTACCAGTAATACATGGTGTTGAGTACATGTGCCCCAGTAATACATGGTGTTGAGTACATGTGTCCCAGTAATACATGGTGCTGAGTACATGTGTACCAGTAATACATGGTGTTGAGTACATGTGCCCCAGTAATACATGGTGCCGAGTACATGTGTACCAGTAATACATGGTGTTGAGTACATGTGTACCAGTAATACATGGTGCTGAGTACATGTGTACCAGTAATACATGGTGCTGAGTACATGTGTCCCAGTAATACATGGTGCTGAGTACATGTGTACCAGTAATACATGGTGTTGAGTACATGTGTCCCAGTAATACATGGTGCTGAGTACATGTGTACCAGTAATACATGGTGTTGAGTACATGTGTACCAGTAATACATGGTGCTGAGTACATGTGTACCAGTAATACATGGTGCTGAGTACATGTGTCCCAGTAATACATGGTGCTGAGTACATGTGTACCAGTAATACAAGGTGTTGAGCCACTTCCTTTTATATAATTACTAGTCACCCGATGGCCACTTCCTTTTATATAATTACTAGTCATCCGATGGCCACTTCCTTTTATGTAATTACTAGTCACCCAATGGCCACTTCCTTTTATATAATTACTAGTCACCCGATGGCCACTTCCTTTTATATAATTACTAGTCACCCGATGGCCACTTCCTTTTATGTAATTACTATGGCCACTTCCTTTTATATAATTACTAGTCACCCGATGGCCACTTCCTTTTATATAATTACTAGTCACCCGATGGCCACTTCCTTTTATATAATTACTAGTCACCCGATGGCCACTTCCTTTTATATAATTACTAGTCACCCGATGGCCACTTCCTTTTATATAATTACTAGTCACCCAATGGCCACTTCCTTTTATATAATTACTAGATGGCCACCCGTCACCCAATGGCCACTTCCTTTTATATAATTACTAGTCACCCGATGGCCACTTCCTTTTATATAATTACTAGTCACCCGATGGCCACTTCCTTTTATATAATTACTAGTCACCCGATGGCCACTTCCTTTTATATAATTACTAGTCACCCAATGGCCACTTCCTTTTATATAATTACTAGTCACCCGATGGCCACTTCCTTTTATATAATTACTAGTCACCCGATGGCCACTTCCTTTTATATAATTACTAGTCACCCAGGGACCATGAGGAAACTTCATACATAATTATAGATAAGAAAGATCCATTTTATAAAGAAACATTAGCAAACAGAATTGTATAAAGACAAATGGACAACTCTGATAGATGGCATTGAACATGTCCACATAAAGACATGTTTTTGTTTACCCTTTAAAAACTCACATTACAATATTTTTCTTGTCAATGTTTACACAGTGTGTTATACTGTTACAGTTCCATGCTACATGTTTAAGTTGTAATATTGGAAATGTGTATATTCTCCTCAATACAACAGATGACCAAAAAACTACTGACAAACACTTGGTATTTTAATCTGCTGGAATCAGCAAGTTTTCTCTGAAGGCTATTCTACTGACAGCCAGTTATCACTTATCATAAATTTCTCTCTTCGTTCTCTGCTGAACCAGATGAGATTATGTCCCATACATGTACGGTCAGCTTACATGTCTCTAACTGTTACATTGAACCTCAGGACTAGCTGAGGATACACAACACTCAACACAGAGATCACCTAAATCTTCATCTACAAGTTTGTAACAGAAACATGTACACACTTTCTTCATGGGAACAGATGGCGATGTATAGGTCATAGATTTTTGGGCGGAAGTTAAACAGTTAAAGTCAGAGGTGAATTGTACCAAGTTTGTATCACAAGAAGACTGACTATGTCTGTCATTTTCCAATATATGACAATCATCAGATATATTTGTTACACTAAATATAGATTCTGTATCCTCACAAGGACCTGTTGTCTTTGTCCCAACATTGTTATCTAAGATCTCTACACAATCCTGCTCTGCATGATCTACACAGTTCACTCCCTTTCCTTCACAGCTATCCACATCTAAAACACATCCTTCCTCCTTTGTCCCTACATAAGTCTTAACATTTGAATTTTTTCTCAGTCCATCCTCCAGCCAACTTGTGATGCCATCCTTATTGTTGGAGGTCTGATTTTTCCCATCCTCTAGCCGAGTTGTGATGTCCACCATGTCGTAAGGATTCTCACATAGCCGATCCTCTGGAGGAGTGGTAATGTCATCAAGATCATGGGAAACTTTCTCCTTCACACCAGAAAGCAAAGCAGCAACATTTTTTTGTTTTGTTTTCCTTGATCGTTTCTGAAATTCATGAAAGTATTATCATCACTAAATATTTGCTGAAGAAGGAAGATTTTGCAGCTGGCATTTGACAGGCATAGTCTGTAGGAAGAAGTTTGTGGAGTATTTTATAAAGGGAATCTTCTGGATATTTACTGTAGGAGGAAGATATTGTGGAGGGAATCTTTTAGGTATTTACTGTAAAAGAAAGTTTGCCAAGGACTTAATGCTGGAACAAAGTGTATTTGAATTGCATTTTGTGGAGAGAGTCTGTGGGGTATTTACTGTAGGACGATGTTTGTAGATTATAATGTGGAGGTAATGTGCTGGGTATTTACAGTATAAGAAAGTTCCTGAGGTATTAATTTGTATTTTGTGGAGGGAGTCTCTGGGGTGTTAACTATGGGACAAAGTTTGTGTAATTTGTATTTTGTGGAAAAAGTTTTGTGGTATTAACTAAAGGAGGAAGTTTGTGTAATTTGTATTTTGTGGAGGGAGTCTCTGGGGTGTTAACTATAGGACAAAGTTTGTGTAATTTGTATTTTGTGGAGGGAGTCTCTGGGGTATTAACTATAGGACAAAGTTTGTGTAATTTGTATTTTGTGGAGGGAGTCTCTGGGGTGTTAACTATAGGACAAAGTTTGTGTAATTTGTATTTTGTGGAGGGAGTCTCTGGGGTATTAACTATAGGACAAAGTTTGTGTAATTTGTATTTTGTGGAGGGAGTCTCTGGGGTGTTAACTATAGGACAAAGTTTGTGTAATTTGTATTTTGTGGAGGGAGTCTCTGGGGTATTAACTATAGGACAAAGTTTGTGTAATTTGTATTTTGTGGAGGGAGTCTCTGGGGTGTTAACTATAGGACAAAGTTTGTGTAATTTGTATTTTGTGGAGGGAGTCTCTGGGGTATTAACAAAGTTTGTGTAATTTGTATAGGACAAAGTTTGTGTAATTTGTATTTTGTGGAGGGAGTCTCTGGGGTATTAACTATAGGACAAAGTTTGTGTAATTTGTATTTTGTGGAGGGAGTCTCTGGGGTATTAACTATAGGACAAAGTTTGTGTAATTTGTATTTTGTGGAGGGAGTCTCTGACAAAGGGTATTAACTATAGGACAAAGTTTGTGTAATTTGTATTTTGTGGAGGGAGTCTCTGGGGTATTAACTATAGGACAAAGTTTGTGTAATTTGTATTTTGTGGAGGGAGTCTCTGGGGTATTAACTATAGGACAAAGTTTGTGTAATTTGTAAAGTATTAACTATGACAAAGTTTGTGTAATTTGTATTTTGTGGAGGGAGTCTCAAAGTTTGGGGAGGGAGCCTCGGGGTGTTAACTATAGGACAAAGTTTGTGTAATTTGTATTTTGTGGAGGGAGTCTCTGTGGTATTCACTGTAGGAGGACGTTTGTGTAATTTGTATTTTGTGGAGGGAGTCTCTGGGGTATTAACTATAGGACAAAGTTTGTGTAATTTGTATTTTGTGGAGGGAGTCTCTGGGGTATTAACTATAGGACAAAGTTTGTGTAATTTGTATTTTGTGGAGGGAGTCTCTGGGGTATTACTTAACAAAGTTTGTGTAATAGGACAAACAAAGTTTGTGTAATTTGTATTTTGTGGAGGGAGTCTCTGGGGTGTTAACTATAGGACAAAGTTTGTGTAATTTGTATTTTGTGGAGGGAGTCTCTGGGGTATTAACTATAGGACAAAGTTTGTGTAATTTGTATTTTGTGGAGGGAGTCTCTGGGGTGTTAACTATAGGACAAAGTTTGTGTAATTTGTATTTTGTGGAGGGAGTCTCTGGGGTATTAACTATAGGACAAAGTTTGTGTAATTTGTATTTTGTGGAGGGAGTCTCTGGGGTGTTAACTATAGGACAAAGTTTGTGTAATTTGTATTTTGTGGAGGGAGTCTCTGGGGTATTAACTATAGGACAAAGTTTGTGTAATTTGTATTTTGTGGAGGGAGTCTCTGGGGTATTAACTATAGGACAAAGTTTGTGTAATTTGTATTTTGTGGAGGGAGTAATTTCTGGGGTGTTATCTATAGGACAAAGTTTGTGTAATTTGTATTTTGTGGAGGGAGTCTCTGGGGTGTTAACTATAGGACAAAGTTTGTGTAATTTGTATTTTGTGGAGGGAGCCTCTGGGGTGTTAACTATAGGACAAAGTTTGTGTAATTTGTATTTTGTGGAGGGAGTCTCTGGGGTGTTAACTATAGGACAAAGTTTGTGTAATTTGTATTTTGTGGAGGGAGTCTCTGGGGTATTAACTATAGGACAAAGTTTGTGTAATTTGTATTTTGTGGAGGGAGTCTCTGGGGTATTAACTATAGGACAAAGTTTGTGTAATTTGTATTTTGTGGAGGGAGTCTCTGGGGTATTAACTATAGGAGGAAGTTTGTGTAATTTGTATTTTGTGGAGGGAGTCTCTGGGGTATTAACTATAGGACAAAGTTTGTGTAATTTGTATTTTGTGGAGGGAGTCTCTGGGGTACTAACTATAGGACAAAGTTTGTGTAATTTGTATTTTGTGGAGGGAGCCTCTGGGGTGTTAACTATAGGACAAAGTTTGTGTAATTTGTATTTTGTGGAGGGAGTCTCTGTGGTATTCACTGTAGGAGGACGTTTGTGTAATTTGTATTTTGTGGAGGGAGTCTCTGGGGTGTTAACTATGGGACAAAGTTTGTGTAATTTGTATTTTGTGGAGGGAGTCTCTGGGGTATTCACTGTAGGACAAAGTTTGTGTAATTTGTATTTTGTGGAGGGAGTCTCTGTGGTATTCACTGTAGGACAAAGTTTGTGTAATTTGTATTTTGTGGAGGGAGCCTCTGGGGTGTTAACTATAGGACAAAGTTTGTGTAATTTGTATTTTGTGGAGGGAGTCTCTGGGGTGTTAACTATAGGACAAAGTTTGTGTAATTTGTATTTTGTGGAGGGAGTCTCTGGGGTGTTAACTATAGGACGAAGTTTGTGTAATTTGTATTTTGTGGAGGGAGTCTCTGGGGTACTAACTATAGGACAAAGTTTGTGTAATTTGTATTTTGTGGAGGGAGTCTCTGGGGTATTATCTATAGGACAAAGTTTGTGTAATTTGTATTTTGTGGAGGAGTCTCTGGGGTGTTAACTATAGGACAAAGTTTGTGTAATTTGTATTTTGTGGAGGGTTGGGTTAACTATAGGACAAAGTTTGTGTAATTTGTATTTTGTGGAGGGAGTCTCTGGGTATTAACTATAGGACAAAGTTTGTGTAATTTGTATTTTGTGGAGGGAGTCTCTGGGGTATTAACTATAGGACAAAGTTTGTGTAATTTGTATTTTGTGGAGGGAGTCTCTGGGGTATTATCTATAGGAGGAAGTTTGTGTAATTTGTATTTTGTGGAGGGAGTCTCTGGGGTATTCACTGTAGGAGGAAGTTTGTGTAATTTGTATTTTGTGGAGGGAGTCTCTGGGGTATTAACTATAGGACAAAGTTTGTGTAATTTGTATTTTGTGGAGGGAGTCTCTGGGGTATTCACTGTAGGAGGAAGTTTGTGTAATTTGTATTTTGTGGAGGGAGTCTCTGGGGTATTCACTGTAGGAGGAAGTTTGTGTAATTTGTATTTTGTGGAGGGAGTCTCTGGGGTATTCACTGTAGGAGGAAGTTTGTGTAATTTGTATTTTGTGGAGGGAGTTTTGGAGCTTTTTTTCATTGTGGATAGTAACTCCTGATACTTACCTTAGGGGGAAGTTTATTTGGATCATGTATGGCTTGATGTTGGGCAAGCTTTTGCTGAAACAAAAAGTGATCACAAGACTTTCATCTAAGATATAAATAGCATTACTTATTAAATAAATCAAATTAGAATCAGGTCCCTCACTTTGCTTTAAACCTTGTTAAATGGAGACCTGATGGAGCCCAACTTTTTGTTAACAAACACCCTTTATTCGACATTTCAGAAATTATAAAATGGCAGCAGAAATTTACTATATACACCTAAGAAAATTAATTTTACAATTGTGATAACAGGTCTCTCAGACCCTCATGCAACAGCACATATAGTAGATATTGAAATGAGAGATTTGATTTTAACTACAGTTAGCTTGTTTATAACGATTTCCACAAGATAAGAGGAAATTTGTAACAGCGGAAATCTGTATTAGGGTTTGAAACAGTCGATAGTCAATGAACAAACTTAGGTATTAAGACAAGTAGACTGTAATCAAAGCAGACAATGAAGGTAAGTCCTATCACTTGGCATTAGAACAGTAGTCATCAACATTACTGTGTTATATGATGATATTTTTCTCTGATGTTAAATAACAATCCATGTTCGGATAAACCTAGGAACTAGATGTTATATACACCGTACCTCAGTGGTGAAGCGTCTGTGGCAGTCAGGGTGTGGACATTCTATACGATTACCATCATGGTATGAACGAATGTGGGCAAGAAGATTTCGCTGATCAAGATAGGAACGACCGCAGTTGTCACGTGGACAAGAAAACATTTCCCGCTCTGAGGAGTGAACATGCATATGTTGCTTTAACCATCGCTTTGTACTGAAGGTTTTATAACACTGCGGACACTTTCTCTCTGTAAACAACAAAGGGATTGACACAATAGGAACAATATACTTACTAAACCTGCTTACACTGTAGCTACACAATGATAGCACATGTTATAAAATAATTGCATTTACAAAAATATAAAATGTATCAGTATAGAGAAAGGTTTTGTGAACAATAATTTGAATACTAAAGAATAAGAGCCATTGGTTTAAAAAGATTGATATTGCTACTGGAAGTAACAGCTAATGGAGCTTAAGTCTGTTGTCTGTTTGATTTTACTTACCATATTAACTTTAACTTATCAAAATCACTGACAGAGACAGTGACTGAATTCTTTCTTCCATCAGAAATTAAAACATTTTGATTAAGAACCTATATCACTGAATATGTCTACAAAATATCACATCTCCTTCATTGGTATGGTTTTTTTTCTGAAATAAAATTATGTTTCCTTAAACTAATCTCTTTAACCACCATTTATATAATTTCTCAAGGGAGCTAACTCTCACTTACCCAATGCATGTTGAGTAGCTTTGTGTTTTCTTAATAAAGTCCACTTTGAGAAAATTTCACTACAACCTGCTTCATCACATCTGTATCCTGAAGAAAAAGTCACACATCATACTGATATGATATTTTTGGCACCATTAGTGTTCAGTATGGACATTAAGTTGATGATGTAAAGTGAATAGTACTATACATAAATCATATATATGATATATGATGTGGTCATCACCAACATCTATGTATAAAATAGCTGTAAATGTTCCCTGACAAGAATTTAGTTTACCAATCATCAAAATATCACTCCATCCTATCTGACACAAATATAAAAATGTATTTAAATGTTTTACCAGAGTGTACTTTTTCATGGCGGTGAAGTTTGCTTGGCACCTGGAACCTCATGCCACATCCCTCATATGAACACCTGTAAAAGAAAGCTAAATATGTTGACCAGATCAAAATACACATTACAATTTAGTGTTATCTAGTGGACTCATATCTTTCCTGTGACTAATAAGTATAACACAGTATAACAGTACCAACATTACCTAGACTACTGCTAACTCCAACTGGTCCTAAAATTTCATACATAACTACAGAAGACCATCAAATCTATATGTAAATATGATAGTCTCGTAAATGTCATAAACATTGACACAGCTGCTACACACTGACAGTCTTATTCTAAAATCTTCACTTTTGACAGGATTTTAAGATTTTCTCTGCAATTTAAGGCTGTATGATCATTGGGGCTATTCCAGTAAAACTTTTACCAACATTTGATCCAAAGTTTCCAAATAAAGAAGATACTGCCATGTTTCGGTTTCCTGTCTCTTACTTCTAAACAAATAAAATTCTATAGGTATACCATAACAAACAGGGAGTCCTGGGGTGGGATATAGATGTCTTACTGGAATAGTCCTAGTATAATCAGCTGTCATTGTATATAAGCTATAACTGTACAAAGGGGCAGAAACAGAAACAAAAGTTCCTCGAAACTGTATGTGTCGCCTGCATAAAGTGTCACGGTCACCCAGAAATCACACTGGATGTGCAACATTCAACCATAAAGTTGTAATACCAAATTTCATTTCTATAACTCAAAGCATAAGCAAAGAAAGTCCAGAGAACAATATTCCCAGAGAATTTTCTAAGTTCAAAGGGGCATAACTCTGCAAAGAAGGGTCACAGACAGCCAGGAATTGATCTTAATCTGTACCCTTCCAACAAGAAGCCATATAACAAATTTCATTTCAATAACTAAAAGGATAATCAAAAAAAGTCCGGAAAACTTACGTACAGATGCTGTCAACGCCGCCAACGGGTGACGACGGACAAAGGGATGTCTAAGTGTCCAACAGTTCTGCAGGCAACACAAAAACTATTTAGAAAGACACTATGGAGCAATGACTGGAGGACACTTTCAGTTCAGATACCAGTGTATGTATTTGTTATACTCACATAAAAGGCTTGATATTTGTGTGTTCAAACTCATGAACCTTGAGATGTTGATTTTTCTTGAAGGATCTTCCACAGCCATTGTATTCACACTGAAATATCAAATATACAGTCCTGTACACATAACTGACAGCCCCCTAAAATCATATGCAATCTTCTTTTCAAATATTTTATTCTTTTCCGTAACTTTCCAAAACCTGTTCGTTGCTGCTGAACATAAACAATTTATTTCATGATAGCCTTAAATGACTCTATTGTAATGCTGTTAAGTCAGATACAGTGAATTAACAATTCTGTTAATGCCCTGTTGGACTTTGAACTCACCGTGAACTGTCGCTTTTCATGTTTCCTCTTCATATGTTTTTTAAGGTTCTGCACCAAGGTGAAGATCATTCCACATCCATCCACTGTACAACTGTAACAAACAATAAAAGTAACACATACTTATGCAATGGTTATGTTGCCTCTGAAGAAAAATGTGCTGGAACATCAATTTGACTTTTAGACCCCATCCAACAAGGTGCTGCCATGATGTCACTCATACATACCTAACTTATTTACCCAACCTACATCGAGCTTCTGTGATATCACTCATACCCACCTGACTAATTTACCCAACCTACATTGTGCTTCTGTGATGTCACTCATACCTACCTCACTTGATTTTGTGTTTCTCCATTAAGTTCATGACTATTGTCTTCATGTCTGCGGAGATGAGCTGAACGAGCATAGCTTTTTCCACAGCCTGGGACAATACATTTAAAGGGTTTCTGAAACACAAAATCAGTTGTTTGTAATTTAACATCATGAAGTTGAATAGCAAATGAAACTATATCTACATACAAACCAATCAAATTTATGCAGGATATGAAATTATCAGTTTTTCGTAGGAAGTGAATTTATTACCAGTCTCCAACTTTTCCAGTTAAGCCAAAGGAAAAATTCCCTGTACCATGAAACTAAAAGGCAACCTCAGGAATATTTTGGTGATTTTGTTTTTAACACACAATCATGTGACATCTACATTCACAGGTTAACATGGTGTTCTTAGGTTTGATTAAAACTGACTATAGTTATTCATTATTTATCTATTTAAATTGATTCTAGACAATTAAAAGCATTGATTTAGGCATAATTGTTAAATGATCAATGATGACAGGTTGAAAGAAATCAAATATCAAAATATTTACTGCATATACATGTATTTTATATGTTAACCATCTTCAGGTTTCCTGACCAACTGATTTAGACATGAAACAGGTGTTCAGCAATATATTCAACTTTTCTTAACATTTCCATTTCTTAAGACAACACATATACCTGTCATAAACTCCATATTTTTCTCAAGTGTCCCAGTGGTTTTCTGATGCATCTCGTATATCATACTATATCTATGCAAAGGATTGTATAGATAGCACAACTTTTTCATGAGTAAGTTTAACACCACTGAAAGTTATAATTTTTCAAATAAGTTAAAGTCTTCCCGGTGATTATGATGAAGTCTTTTTTCAGAACTGCAGACAGGATAACAGGTTCAATGAATGCATATGAGTCTTGACACATAAAACATCAAAGTAAAAATTGTCACCTTTCAAACAATTACATCAAACAAGCGTCAAAATTGCTTATTAATTTCACATAACATTAGTTATATCTATACGAAAAGAATATGAAAAGCTGCAAGACAATTTTTCTTATAAAAAAAAAGAAAAAAAAACTAAACTCATATACATTTTTACAAAACAAGTATATTTTTGAGACTTGCCGAACCTGACGATGGCAGATTATTCAAATTTAAAAACCATCTCAAATTCTATCACAGATTTAAAGTAATAATAACAGTCTGATTTGCAAGTGTGTTTAAAATACAGATCCCTTTGGTTTGTTAATACATACTTCCCTATCGTTACTGATAGAAATAAATAAATACTAGAATACTTTACCTAACCTACACTTATTACAGATACGTGTGCCCATCATCCATAGCAGAACACGTGGGTTACTGGTAAAGAGAACGTGGGCAGAATATGGTCACTTGGCGACAAGTGAGAAATTTGATAAACAACTTACCTCTCCCGTATGAGACCGTTGGTGAATTTTCAGTCGGTCGGGTCTCGAGAAAGTCTTCGGACAGTCAGGAAATGGGCAAATATACTCATGTGTCGACGAAACGTCACATTTCGCCGCCATTGTCTTCGACATAACATATTCTCGGGCTCTTGTAAAGAAATGGGATGAAAATACAAGAGAGGTTCCGAATAACCATAAAGGTGATTAATATTAGAGTTGGATAGCTGACCGGATTGGTCGATCCCCATATGCAGTTATCGTTCTTTACTCTTCGGCCACTCCATTTACTTTTCCATTGCCTATAAAGACATTATTTTTCCATTAGACCGGTTGTTATAAATACATATAATGTCTGGGATGAACCAACAAATGATAAAGAATGGTATAATCTCATGTTTGCGGATATGACGAATATCTATATATGAAATTTTGTTCACAAACAATAATTACACAAATAGCTTTACATAGGTATACAATACAAAACACGAGAACTTGATACTTTTTGGCTTGAAACAATATAACGACAACACCAGCTCATCAAAGTTATAAAGAAGAAAAATATCTACACAATAGATCAATAAACAGATATACAGATAGATAAATAAAATGGTTTCATACATCACGAATGCCAATATCAGAACAATAAATTAGCACATGAAGTATAATACACATAAGAGACAAACATCGCCTGGTACTGTTCCAAACCTGGGTGATAGCCCCGAGAGGAAAGGATATTAGTCTGATTCATTGTAATTAGGCTGCAGCTACAGACACTGTCTCAGCTACAGACACTGTCTCAGCTACAGACACTGTCTCAGCTACAGACACAGTCTCAGCTACAGACACTGTCTCAGCTACAGACACTGTCTCAGCTACAGACACTGTCTCAGCTACAGACACTGTCTCAGCTACAGACACAGTCTCAGCTACAGACACTGTCTCAGCTACAGACACTGTCTCAGCTACAGACACTGTCTCAGCTACAGACACTGTCTCAGCTGCAGACACTGTCTCAGCTGCAGACATAGTCTCAGCTACAGACACTGTCTCAGCTACAGACACAGTCTCAGCTACAGACACAGTCTCAGCTACAGACACTGTCTCAGCTACAGACACTGTCTCAGCTACAGACATAGTCTCAGCTACAGACACTGTCTCAGCTACAGACACAGTCTCAGCTACAGACACAGTCTCAGCTACAGACACTGTCTCAGCTACAGACACAGTCTCAGCTACAGACACAGTCTCAGCTACAGACACTGTCTCAGCTACAGACATAGTCTCGGCTACAGACACTGTCTCGGCTACAGACACAGTCTCAGCTACAGACACAGTTTCAGCTACAGACACAGTCTCGGCTACAGACACTGTCTCGGCTACAGACACAGTCTCAGCTACAGACACAGTCTCAGCTACAGACACAGTCTCAGCTACAGACACAGTCTCAGCTACATACACTGTCTCAGCTACAGACATAGTCTCAGCTACAGACACAGTCTCAGCTACAGACACAGTCTCAGCTACAGACACAGTCTCAGCTACAGACACAGTCTCAGCTACAGACACTGTCTCAGCTACAGACACAGTCTCAGCTACAGACACAGTCTCAGCTACAGACACTGTCTCAGCTACAGACACTGTCTCAGCTACAGACACAACCTCGACTACAGACATAGCCTAGGCTACAGGCATAGCCTCAGCTACAGACACTGTCTCAGCTACAGACACTGTCTCAGCTACAGACACAGTCTCAGCTACAGACACAGTCTCAGCTACAGACACTGTCTCGGCTACATACACAGTCTCAGCTACAGACACAGTCTCAGCTACAGACATAGCCTAGGCTACAGGCATAGCCTCAGCTACAGACACAGTCTCGGCTACAGATACAACCCCAGCTAAAGACACACATTCAGCTATAGACACAACCTCGGTCATAGACATAGCCTCAGCTACAGACATAGTCTTAGCTACAGACACGGTCTCAACTACAGACACAGTCTCAACTACAGACATAGCCTAGGCTTCAGGCATAGCCCCAGCTACAGACACAGTCTCAGCTACAGACATAGCCTAGGCTACAGACATAGCCTAGGCTACAGACACTGTCTCAGCTACAGACATAGTCTCATCTACAGACATAGTCTCATCTACAGACACAGTCTCGGCTACAGACATATCATCAGCTACAGACATAACCTCATCTACAGACATAACCTCATCTACAGACACAGTCTCAGCTACAGACATAGCCTTAGTTACAGACATTGTCTATAAATAGCATATTACCTCTATCTGTCCTATATTTTACCTGTAACTCTTCTGTATATGTTACTTGTAACCGTTCTATATGTTACCTGTAAGTGTTCTATATGTTTACTGTAAGTGTTCTATATGTTACCTGTAACTGTTCTATATGCTACCTGTAACTGTTCTATATGTTACCTGTAACTGTTCTATATGTTATCTGTAAGTGTTCTATATGCTACCTGTAATTGTTCTATATGTTACCTGTAACTGTTCTACATGTTATCTGTAACTGTTCTATATGTTACCTGTAACTGTTCTATATGTTACCTGTAAGTGTTCTATATGTTACCTGTAACTGTCCTATATGTTTACTGTAAGTGTTCTATATGTTACCTGTGACTGTTCTATGTTACCTGTAACTGTTCTATATGTTACCTGTAAGTTTTCTATATGTTACATGTAACTGTTCTATATGTTACCTGTAACTGTTCTATATGTTACCTGTAACTGTTCTATATGTTACCTGTAACTGTTCTATATGTTACCTGTAACTGTTCTATATGTTACCTGTAACTGTTCTATATGTTACCTGTAACTGTTCTATATGTTACCTGTAACTGTTCTATATGTTACCTGTAACTGTTCTATATGTTATCTGTAAGTGTTCTATATGTTACCTGTAACTGTTCTATATGTTACCTGTAAGTGTTCTATATGTTACCTGTAACTGTTCTATATGTTACCTGTAAGTTTTCTATATGTTACCTGTAACTGTTCTATATGTTACCTGTAAGTTTTCTATATGTTACCTGTAACTGTTCTATATGTTACCTGTAACTGTTCTATATGTTATCTGTAAGTTTTCTATATGTTACCTGTAACTGTTCTATATGTTATCTGTAACTGTTCTATATGTTATCTGTAACTGTTCTGTATGTTACCTGTAACTGTTCTATATGTTATCTGTGACTGTTTTATATATTATATGTAACTGTTCTATATGTTACCTGTAACTGTTCTATATGTTATCTGTAACTGTTCTGTATGTTACCTGTAACATTCCGATACACTACCTGTAATTTTCCTATATATTACCTCTAACTGCCCTATATATTACCTCTAACTGTCCTATATATTACCTCTAACTGTCCTATACTGTACCTCTAACTTTCCTATATATATCCTGTAAGTGTCCTATATATTACCACTAAATGTCCTATATATTACCTCTAATTGTCCTATACTTTCCCTCTAAATGTTCTATATATTACCTCTAACTGTCCTATACTTACCCTCTAACTGCCCTATACTTTTCCTGTAAATGTTCTATATATTACCACTAAACGTCCTATATATTACCTCTAACTGTCCTATACTTTCACTCTAAATGTTCTATATATTACCTCTAACTGTCCTATACTTACCCTCTAACTGCCCTATACTTTTCCTGTAAATGTTCTATATATTACCTCTAACTGTCCTATATATTACCTCTAACTGACCTCTAACTGTCCTATATATTACCTCTAACTGTCCTATATATTACCTCTAACTGTCCTTTACTTTACCTCTAACTGTCCTATTGTTTCCCTCTAATTGTTCTATATATTAACTGTAACCGTTCTACATGTTACCTGTGCCTTTTGCATGAGTGACACATTTATTGGACAGTCAGTTATAAGACATCTGAAGATAACTCGACATTGTTTGGTCTCTGTTTTTGCATAATCTGGACAAAAACAGAACATTATAAAACAAGTATACAAGTTAACAGTCCTGTTTCAAAATCGCATGGTCATGGTCACGGGCATTAGTCTGACCTCTCACATATAGTTTTCGGCTCATCTTCACAGTTTAGTTACACTGATACTAAAAAGTCCTCACTGCGAACAACTCACAATATTTTGTTCATCCCGTACATTTCGTAATCATCCAAAAATGATCATGACAACAATAACCTGAAAAAAAGAAGACTTTAATCTATGACACATTTATTCATGAATTATTCATTGAAAATATGACGATCTTCTGGGACCTGAATGTGATGTGACGTCACGACACAGCTAGGACTGTCCGACATTTAACCTCAGCAACCTGTTTTAAATATATGCTAGTCCATCTCTAGATATTGTTGAATACCTGTCACTCCCACTAAATCTATTCAGGAGTGCAGTAATTGAAATAAAGCGCCAATCAGCTGTACATGATTTGCTGGAATGTTGTAGAGTCTAAGCTATTAAGACTGCCGACTTTCTGTAAACCCTTCCTCACTAGCAATTACAAAGAGACCTTCATACTGATTAAAAGAAAAGTTGTGTTAACATTACAACAGATATATGGACAGTGTAACGTTGCTATGAAAACTTCGTCCGTGACCACTTCCCTTAACCTAGCATACTGGTTATTTGGAGGGAAATTTTTGACAGAATCAACTTCCTTATATACTTTTTTATGTAAGTAGTGGTTAGTAATCATTATATTAAGACATCCCTTGATGATAATTGGATATCTATAGAAAAGGTTACAATGATATAATTTTCGTTTTACTGAGGGGAAATTCCCACACTTAAGGTCAGTCCTGATTTTAAGGAAATCCGCTAGAAATTAAACTATACAGTACAGCTTCCCAAAATGTTCTAAGTTTCAAAAAATGACTAGGTAAGTGTATTTCTTAATGATATTCCTAAACCTTTCCTGGCTACTTTTGAAATAAATACAGGTGCGATTTGGCGCCTGGAATGAAGAACGTTACACGTGGTAGATACGGTGATGATATAGCTTTGAATGTCCATTTTTATAACTGTCTTTGTTTGCAGGAACTTTTTATGGTCAGCTTGGACATTCCATGTTTTCAAAGTAGTGATACATTC